GGGCCGCGAGGGTACTGCAGGGGGGCCGCGGGAGGTCATAAAAAAATATATATATATATATAATTATTTAACGTTAAATTTATAATGTTTTGTTTGTAATATTAAAATATTTGTGTTCATTATTTGACTTGAATAATCCACTGTAATCATTTGTGTATTACAATGTTTGTAGCAGAGGCAATTTTCCCCAAAATAAAATAACCAGAAGAGCCTATTCTTAATGTTGTCTTCTTGGTTATTATTTTGGGGGGCCACGCAGACCCGTCAGATTTTTAAGGGGGCCTCGGTGTTACTGAGTTTGGGAATGGCTGATGTAGGCCAATGTTTTGCGGTTTGAAATGTATGTACCCCAGCTTTAACATGACATAACATTATAGGCATTTGGGAGAAACCAGCTAAAATACTGTAAGACTTCAACCAGCAAATTGCCTCTATACACACAGCAACAAGCATCATTGGTGGCTGAGTCTGAATGTTACTATATATAATGTGCAAATTATTGATTCCACTGTAGCATTCCCATCTCAAGGCAGCAGGTCACAAATGCCATAGAGCCCGGGGAGCCTGAATGGACATACACAATAAATAGTTCATGTTTTATCCTTGCTTTGCTGTATCTATGTGTGTATTTGTGGGTTACTTACATTGTTAGCCTACTTGTCTCTCTCTTCATTCTACCCATGCAGGAAAGATTGTGAAGTTTCCTCAAGCACACCCAACGACATTTGTGCATGTAGTGACCAGCAAAGTGAGAGGAAAGAGGAGATTGTGTAGACTGGTGCAGAGCGAGGCTGCAGCTACGTGGAGCTGCCATAGCAACCACTTATAACAGAGCTATTTCTGTCTTGTTTCAACTCCCAAACACAGCTGCTCCTATAGAACTGTCTCATCCCGCCACTTTAGACGTGCAATCTGTGCAGAGCGGCCATGGCATGTACAGAAAGCTTTGTCAGATGCAATAAAGCCTGCTTTCAATTGACATTATTCAGGTTGGATCGTTTCTCTTGCAATGAGTTAGAAAATTGATAATTACTGTTATGTTGTTATCAATGGGTTTCAGCGTGAAGGAACAATGGCTCGGTAATCATTGCAATAAACAATCATTTTAGCTTTGTCCAAAAACCAAAATGTGTAAACATGTTTGAAAACCAAGAAACAATTAAATGTTGTGTGCCACATTTGAAGATTTACTGACTTTGTGCCAGTCGACTGTTTTGAGTATTTAATCATGTTACAACATTATTCCCTCTTCAAAGGCCCAGAGTTGTTTTTAGATCCATCCATGCAAATATCAGGAACTTCAGACACAAACCTATAACTCCGCCCCTTCCGTCTAAAAGGTCTAGTATGATTAGTATGATGTCATTGGACCACTATGACATCATGCTCATACAAGTTTTCTTCGGTTAAAAACAAAAGTAGTACCCATTAGTTTTTATATTTTCTCAAGTGAAATTATGTTCTTTACAATTGCATTCTGTGTTTGCTGCTGATCATTCTTAAATAAAAATAAATAAATAAAAAAAGACAGAAAGCCTGCATACTTTATAAAGATATTATTTCAGGTCCTAAAACATGAAATGAAAAAGTAAACAGTCCCATTATCACTTTTAAGTTGGAGGCCCATTACCAGCCTTTGTGTCCATGTGGCGGTTTGCTCAAAAGTCGACATTGAACAAATGAGAAGCATCCTGGTGCTTTTAAATCCTCTGTCCTCATAATATTGTTGCCTTATCCAAGCCAAAAGATCTTCTACAGGGCCAATTTTGTGCATCATTTCTGTTGAGAGGATTCTCGATAATGACTTCGACACTGAGCAATTTGAGCACTCCCTGAACATTTGACAGAAATCCATGCAAACAAATTACAGAGGTAGATGTTCAAGCCCCTTGTGTGTCTTGGGACCACAGCACCGCCTGCAATAACAGGTTATTTCCTGAAAGTGTAATGGAGTAACCGAGTTCATCTGTCACAGGGCAAACATCATTACCAAAAAGGATTAGAAACTGTTAAAAAGCCGCCCTGAGGAGCACACAGTCTCTTCTGCGGGCAAACACAACCATTGTTATAGCTGCCAGCCAAGTGGTGCCTCCAACCATTCACTTTGTAGTCCTTGACGCGCCATGTAGCAACAGTGCCACCTACTGGGGAAAATACGAGAAGTGTTTTGGTGCTAAGTTCAGACACAAGCAGCTGACTCATACTGGAGTGTATTTGATGAAACGTAGCAGGAGTGCAATTAGAGTAATGACATTAATTTAAGAGCACTGTTAACGCTGCTTTGTTTCTATTATTATGCGCCCCATTATCAAGAGCACAGGAGGGTAGTGTGATTAAAACTACTGCTGCGTCATCCTCAAAGTAAAGAGGATTATAGGGTCATTTGGTTTGTTTATCACTGTGAGGGATGTCATCTTTTAGGTATTTTAGTTGAATTTCCTTTGAGGTGTTTATACCGGTTTATAATGTGCGTTCACCTTGAAAGAGCTGGAAAGATCATCATAGTGTCGACAATGAATATTAACTTAGTATATAACTAAACTAAAAGGACAGTGGTTGTTCAATGTTGAGTTGAGTGTCCTTAACTCAACTTTCAAAAAGATTTATGGACATTGGTCATCTGCCTGGACCAATGGACCAATGGACCAATGGCTCTATGTGTGTTTTTTTTTAATTGGAATTCTTGTGTTGACTCTATGTTAGGGCTCTACAAGTATAATTTGAATTGAATGGAATACCTCTAAGAAAATATGTTTCTTTCATGTTTTATGAAAGAATAACAATGTAGAGGGAATTTGCAAATGACAGAGTTAGCTATATCTCACTAATGGTCAAAAAGGTCTATAAGTGCTATTTATTTTGATATTTTTTGTTTTTTTTTTTGCGTCTCTCATATGGGTAAATGTTAATAATTTAGGAGACAAAATATGCATAGTCTATAGTTTTTAAACAGAAAATAAAATATGCTCCACTGGCCAACATTTCTCTTATCGTCAATCAGTGGAAATCAGTTTAAATGTATGTGACAATCTCTTTATAATGTAGCCATAAAGCATATTTGTTCAGTCATAAAGCATTATTCATTCACTACCCAAAAAGTCTTGGTAAATTACTGATGTAGCCACAGCTGCCCTGACGTAGACTGACAGAAGTGAGGCTACTATTCTGTGCCATCAGCCCCTCTGACCACCACCAATCGTGCTCACACCAGACTTATAACCTGTAATGTGGGTGAAGTGACACAAGAGTTTATACAGCATCTCAAGGAGCATTCCAAATTAATTAATATATATTTTCAAGCATTTAGCAAGTGAGTTTCAAGAAATAGTGCCTATGGAAGTTGAAACATGCTGTTACCCATCGCACCTGCCTCAGTTGTCCATGAACCAAATATAACGCTTTTATGATACAATTGACTGCAATGTGATACTTCAAAATAATATCAGCTTGACCCAGCTTCATCATAACCAGATCAGCTTGAATAAATTCTGAAAGTGTTTTGAATAAAAGTAAATATGTGTGTAAGAGATGAAGACTTCCAGTGGTCCCAACTCAGGCACCAGCCACTGACCTGCTCCACTGACCCAGTCTCCAATGTCCTTGCTCCACTGGCATCAACTCTGTAGCCATAAATATGAGATCCAGGCCAAGGCTAAACCGTTTGGTTCAAGGACCATCTTAACCTTGCTTTTGAGTTTTTATCCTCCCCCTCTCCCCCAAAGGACAAATTACCAACAAGACATTCTACAGACGTCCCCCTTTTCTTCTAAATGAGCATATAACAAGAGAAATCGTATGGTCCTCCACTTAGTCCTTGCTCGACATTTCTGGGCCGCTGTTCAATTTTCATTTTTCAGTCCAAATGTAGAAAAACTATTCGCCCACTGCTTCGGTTTCCTGGCAACAACCAACCAGGCTTTTTTCTAGTTGGGCCATAGAGACCTTTAGAAAAACAGCTGCAGACAGGATAAAAATAATTACAGCTCTATTTGTCTTCCAAGAGACACACTTTCAGACCAAACTCACTCCCTTCTCTTTATTCAAGCTGCTCCACTTTGCTCTGGCATTCACAATGAAGCCATTCAGAATAATATCGTCCATACACTGCAGTGGCCATAGAACAAAATGTTGAATAATTATGGAAGATAATTAACTTGTACTCAGGTATGTGACAAAAATTGAGGCATTTTCTTCCTCAAGGGGACATTAACTTATTTGGATAACTCACCCATCAATACGTGACATGTAGTACCAGTTCCATGTTAAATGTATTTAAGGTTTAGTATAACTTATTATTATGAGGTGCTACATTAAGACAAACTCACCAAATATGCCCTTTAGTATTTTAATTACTTTGTAATTGGTTCAGGGAACTAGTTTCTCCAAAAAAAAAGTTAATTAAATACTGATTATATTTGTAAGCTTTATACTCGCATGCAGTCATGCCTTTAACCTGCTGTAGATGATTTCTCAAGTGCTACAGTTCATTTATTTCCAGTCTGAATGTCTTGTTGCATTTTCCCATGCAATGCTACTGCCCCCGGCTGGTGGAAACACTCGTTACAGTTGGGCTTGTACAAGTTTTATTTCATGTTTTTCACCATGAGTAGATATGCAAGAGACAATTGGTTAAAAAAACAACATTAAACAAAATGAACAACAATTGTGCCCTTTTACACAAACTCAAAAACACAAACTAGATACTGTCAACACCACATTCAATTATCCCTATAACATCCCAAATTATAATAATCTTTTCGTACAAAATAAATAAATTGAAGGTGGTGAATTGTGTATTTTTTTGGGACTTTACGGACTGTGAAACCATCTCCAGATGACCTTTATGTAATGACTCCTCTGTCCTTTACATAGGGAGTGAAACGATGAAGACTTGTCCAAAGCTGAGCTGGTTCGGTTCACCTCAGTCACAGGGGTGAACTAAAAAGTGCTCATTTAGAAAGGTCTAAAATCCTTTTATGGAATATTAATAACATCTCTTATCATTCAACGTCATCTTCTGATAAAGACTGGGCACTGATGATACGCTGAAAAACAAAGAACAAACTTTGAAGACATTTTTCAAACGTTGACTTCAGACACAGCGTAATGTAATAATTTGTATCAAAATATTAGCGTCACTGAAGGAATTTTACAAGAGAACGGCAACCAAATCTCTTTCAGAATATATGAAACTCTGGAATCAAAACATTGTCTTAGGGGTGAAATAGCCGAGAGCAACAGACATGCCTCCAAGCTTTGGAATCCTACATTTTACTGTTGCACCCTTTCTTGTCCCAGAGGCAGAAGAATAGACACCGGGGGGTTTTCAAGGATGCGTAGCAAATATAAATACATATTTAAACACAATCACATTGTTGAACTCACCTGGCTGATACTGGGGAGCTTTGTGAGCAGCATCTGGAAGACTGGAGGGGGCAGGGTCTGCTGAAGCACTTGGAGAAGCTGCTGAGGCTGGCCACATACTGCAATGGCATTGGTCAGGTGGTCTACACCCTTCTCAAATTCACCTGAGAGAGATTTCACAGAAAGAAACATGCAACTAATATGCATACAGAAATTATTTGTGAGAAACAATCTGGGAAACTATGGAGGTAAAAGTAATTGTCTTGGAGGTGAAATAGCAAAGAGCAATGGATATGACTCTACACTTTGGAGTTCCAAGTTCACTGTTGCATCCTTTCTTGTCCCAGAGACTATTGAAAGTGACTGGGGGGTTTTCAAGAATGCCAGGTATCAATGTGGAACAGACTAAGCATATCAGTAGTATGGAATGTTATAGGATTCTTAATCATTATGAATCTAAACTCCTTTTGAATGGATACAATAGTAGCCCCTGCTGTTTCAAATCAATTGCTTTAAATTATTAGGTTAGAGATTAAATGTAATGCATTTGATCTACCTTCAAAACACTAGTCATAATCCAATTAAAAAAAATCAATAGCCATTTAGAATAATAGATTATACGAAAAGCTAACGTAAAATGAATGCCCTCGTTTGCAGAGGTCACATCTGACCTTGAGACAGCAGCTCTTCTCCGAGCTGGATCTCCTCCAGGAAGAACTTCTGAACAGCTTCAGCGTCTTTAAGATCTGGAAGCTTCAAAGTCAAACAGACGCTGTTAGTAGAAGTCAAAAGGTCCACATTCGAACATTCTTTACTTAACGTACCTTTGCCAGTCCAGACTTCTCTGTGGATGTTTTCTGTTTTCTTCGACCTGAGAATGAACATAATGCGACATGTGAGAGTTAAGTAACCCTGGCACAGAATTAAGTAACCCTGGCACAGAATTAAGTAACCCTGGCACAGAATTAAGTAACCCTGGCACAGAATTAAGTAACCCTGGCACACATGTGATCCACATTAGCACAGAGCTAACAGCATGTGGCTGTGCAAAATGGAGATCGACCAAATGGACACATTTAGAACGCATTGTGTAGCAGACTATGAAGTGCAACTGTGCAGTGATTAACAGGGGCCTATAATGTTGTATGTATTCGTTATTTCAAGAGTTCGCCCTTTCTCATTGAGGTGCTAACATGCTACCGGCTAATGCCCAGCTCTTCTCGAGTGGAAGGACGCGCGTTACTCACGTTCGCGTAGTTTCTGCTTGAAGTCTGGATCACTCCGTCGCTTTTTGTCAAAGTAAAAACAATAGGCTACAAACACTACTCCACATACCCCGGCGACAATCGCACTCGTCCTGCTGCTCATCATCACTGAAACCACTCATGAGCTGCAGCTACGAGCTAAGGGCTAAGGCTAAAGCTAGCGAAGGGGCGGGCCCATGACGCATTTCCGCTGTGGCTTCTCGTTCTCGGTTTCTGTTTTTTTTTTTGTCTAAAGAATTTTTATTGACAATATTAGAACTATAATTAAATCAACTTATTTGTGTGAACCTTTTAATAAACCATGTGAACAGTGTTTAAATGTAGTTTTATCTTAATCTTCCTCTCTTTCTTTTTTTTTCCTTTTACATTTATTTAGTAAGAGAGGCCCTCATTGAGATCAAGAATCTCATGTCTGTAATATAATCTAAACAGACGCCAAGTTTATCTGCTTTGTCTTTGTATATATTGTATGTCTGCAGATGTGCATTATCCTGTACATAATCACAGTATATTCCTGAGTACCTACATCCAGATTATTCTATTCTCACAATAGTCCATCCATCCATCCATTTTCTTCCGCTTTATCCGTTGCCGGGTCGCGGGGGCAGCAGTCTAAGCAGAGACGCCCAGACTTCCCTATCCACACACACTTCCTCCAGCTCGTCCAGGGGGACCCCAAGGCGTTCCCAGGCCAGCTGAGAGACATAGTCCCTCCAGCGTGTCCTGGGTCTTCCGCGGGGCCTCCTCCCGGTGGGGCGTGCCCGGAACACCTCCCCAGGGAGGCGTCCAGGAAGCATCCGGAACAGATGCCCGAGCCACCTCAACTGGTTCCTCTCGACGTGGAGAAGCAGCGGTTCTACTCCGAGCTCCTCCCGTGTGACTGAGCTCCTCACCCTATCTCTAAGGGAGCGCCCAGCCACTCTGCGGAGGAAGCTCATTTCGACCGCTTGTATCCGCGATCTCGTTCTTTCGGTCATTACCCAAAGCTCATGACCATAGGTGAGGGAGGGAACGAAGATTGACCGGTAAATCGAGAGCTTTGCCTTTCGGCTCAGCTCCCTCTTCACCACAACGGTCCGATACAGCGACCGCATCACTGCGCACGCTGCACCGATCCGCCTGTCAATCTCATGCTCCATTCTTCCCTCACTCGTGAACAAGACCCCGAGATACTTGAACTCCTCCACTTGAGGAAGGACCTCTCCACCCACCTGCAGAGGGCAAGGCACCTTTTTCCGGTCGAGCACCATGGCCTCGGATTTGGAGGTGCTGATTCTCATCCCAGCCGCTTCACACTCGGCTGCAAACCGTCCCAGTGCATGCTGCAGGTCCTGGTTCGTTGGAGCCAACAGGACAACATCGTCCGCAAACAGCAGAGATGAAATCCTGTGGTCTCCGAACCGGACCCCCTCCGACCCCTGGCTGCGCCTAGATATTCTGTCCATAAATACAGTGAACAGAACCGGTGACAAAGGGCAGCCCTGTCGGAGGCCAACATTCACCGGGAACAGGTCTGACTTACTGCCGGCAATGCGAACACAGCTCTGGCTCCGGTCATACAGGGATCGGATGGCCCTCAGCAGAGGACCTCCGACCCCGTACTCCCGGAGAACCCCCCAAAGGACACCCCGGGGAACACAGTCGAACGCCTTCTCCAAATCCACAAAGCACATGTGGACAGGTTGGGCGAACTCCCATGAACCCTCGAGTATCCGATGGAGAGTATAGAGCTGGTCCAGTGTTCCGCGACCGGGACGAAAACCACACTGCTCCTCCTGGATCCGAGATTCGACCATCGGCCGTAACCTCCTCTCCAGTACCTTGGAGTAGACCTTACCGGGGAGGCTGAGGAGTGTGATCCCACGATAATTGGAACACACCCTCCGGTCCCCCTTCTTGTAGAGAGGGACCACCACCCCGGTCTGCCACTCCATTGGCACTGCCCCCGATCGCCACGCGATGTTGCAGAGACGTGTCAGCCAAGACAGTCCTACAACATCCAGAGACTTTAGATAATCAGGGCGGATCTCATCCACACCCGGCGCCTTGCCACCATGGAGGCTGCCAACCACCTTGGTGACCTCAGCCAGGGAGATGGATGTACCCGCCCCAACATCCTCAGCCTCTGCCTCTGTAACGGAGGACGTGACGGGGGGATTGAGGAGAACCTCAAAGTATTCCTTCCACCGCCCGACAATATCCCCTGTCGAGGTCAGCAGCTCTCCACCCGCACCGTACATGGTGTTGGCAAAGAACTGCTTCCCCCTCCTGAGGCGCCGGATGGTTTGCCAGAATCTCTTCGAGGCCGACCGATAGTCATGCTCCATGGACTCTCCGAACTCCTCCCAGTCCCGGGTTTTTGCCTCTGCAACAGCCCGGGCCGCGGCACGCTTGGCCTGCCGGTACTGGACAGCTGCCTCAGGAGTCCCCCGAACCATCATGGCTCGATAGGACTCCTTCTTCAGCCTGACAGCATCCCTTAATGCCGGTGTCCACCACCGGGTTCGGGGGTTGCCGCCGGGACCAGCACCAGAGACCTTGCGACCACAGCTACGAGCCGCCGCATCGGCGATTGAGGCAGAGAACATGGTCCACTCGGACTCCATGTCCCCCTCCTCCGCCGGGACCTGGGAGAAGCTCTCCCGGAGGTGTGAGTTGAAAGTCCGTCTGACAGGGGGCTCAGCAAGACGTTCCCAGCAGACCCTCACTATACGCTTGGGTCTGCCAGGTCTGACCGGCTTCTTCCCCTGCCAGCGGATCCAACTCACGACCAGGTGATGATCGGTTGACAGCTCCGCCCCTCTCTTTACCCGAGTGTCCGAGACACGCGGTCGAAGGTCAGATGATACGACAACAAAGTCGATCATCGACCTCCGGCCTAGGGTGTCCTGGTGCCACGTGCACTGGTGGACACCCTTGTGCTCGAACATGGTGTTCGTGATGGACAAACCGCGACTGGCACAGAAGTCCAACAACTGAGCACCGCTCGGGTTCAGATCAGGGGGGCCGCTCTTCCCGATCACCCCTCTCCAAGTGTCACTGGCGTTTCCCACATGGGCGTTGAAGTCCCCCAGGAGAATAACGGAGTCCCCGGGCGGTGCACCGTCCAGTACCCCTCCCAAGGACTCCAAGAAGGCCGGGTACTCTACACTGCTGTTAGGCCCGTAGGCCGTCACAACAGTGAGAGACTTGTCCCCCACCCGGAGGCGGAGGGACGCGACCCTCTCATTCACCGGGGAGAACTCCAACACGTGGCGGCTGAGATGGGGGGCAATGAGAATGGCCACCCCAGCTCGCCGCCTCTCCCCGCGGGAAACTCCAGAAAAGTGGAGCGTCCAACCCCTCTCAAGGAGTTGGGTTCCAGAGCCCAAGCTGTGTGTGGAGGTGAGGCCGACTATCTCTAGTCGGTATCGCTCCACCTCCCCCACGAGCTCGGGCTCCTTCCCCCCCAGTGAGGTGCAGTTCCACGTCCCGAGAGCCAGCTGTTGTGTGTGCGGACTGGGTCGCCGAGGTCTCCGCCTTCGACTGCCGCCCAGTCCTCTCTGCACCGCTTCACCACGGACCCCTCTGCAGGTGGTGGGCCCACAATAGTATCTTATTCTTATTTTCAGGTTGTTACTTTATTATTTTTATTGTTGTTTTTTGTGGAATACAATGCAAGCTACTGTGACAACGCAATTTCCCTTGTGGATCAATAAAGTCTGTAAGTCATACTGTGTACGTACACATACGTGTACTATCATAAATAAATACTAGTCTATATGATACCATTATAATTATATTACAAATATTTGTAGTGAAATACTATTATTATTATTATAAGTTAATCATTGAGGATCATCTGCTAAATTCATGAATCTTTGAGGAGCTTGAGGGGATGGCAGGCTACTGGTAGCTCCTGAGCTACATACTTTATTTGTAAATGTGCGTTTTTGTCACTGCTATTGAAAGCTCCAAGACATCTATTGAGGCCCACGCACAAGTTATATGCTCATTTAGAAGAAAAGGGGGATGTCTGTAGAATGTCTTGTTGGTAATTTGTCCTTTGGGGGAGAGGGGGAGGATAAGAACTCAAAAGCAAGGTTAAGATGGTCCTTGAACCAAATGGCCTGGATCTCATATTTATGGCTAGAGATGACTCCATGACAATATGCATAGTTCAATATAGTACTTGTACTTATTGTGTGTACAAATGTATGTACTATATATATCGTAATGTCCACCTTGAGGTTAGATTCAAATTGTGTAACATTTCCCAGAGATTACAGACACACACACACACACAATAATTCACAAACTATGGCATTTTATTCAAAACAGAAGCTTCTGCTTAGCTTACATTTTTACAATAAATTACATGTGACCATCATGAGATGAGCCTAATAAATACTATTAAGCATTGTCCAAAAAGCTCCTTTACTTTTACTTTCACTTGCACATAGCATCCGACCATTCTCAATTTACAACGTCATAAAACTGTTTAGGCCATGTCAGAAAATGGCCTAACCAAAACATTCTTCTCTTACAAGCAAAAGACAAAACGCAAACAAATGCAAAATCTAAAGATAGGACAAAACAATGGAAAAATGCGTAAAAGTAAATTAACTAAGAAAAACTGGACAACATGCGATAACCTTCTGTATTTACACTTAAACTACAGTTAAAACCGTAAAACTGTCTTTACAGAAAAGTACATGTTATTAACAATGCAAGATATTAAATAGCTCGACTCAAAACACATCTCAATATACAAATGTATAACAAAAGCATACAATTACATACAAGTGCCAAACGAAAAACATTTCTTCAGGGCATAATTATACAGTAGGGAGTCTGTACAAAGGAAACACTGGAGATGTCTTTAGAAATGTACACACATACATCACTTTTTGATATAAATGCACATTTTACATTGACTCTACTCTGGTCTTAGCACATACATAGAGCCCCCAACTTTTTGGTAGGGACTAATGAAAGGAAAAAGGAAAAATCTAATGGAATTATGGTGAAAACATAATTGAATATGAAGAATTTAAACTGCAACTGTGCTGGGAAATGCATAAAATATAAAACAAACTTAATGTTTGGATAACACTGCATTCGAAACTCACTTATGCAGCAAATTTATTTCTGTGAAGCTGCTTTGATCCAGTTGAAATGTCACCAATTCCTCAATAAAAATTATGAGGCGATTAGCCACGAGATGAGAACATGATATAATAAATTGATTTACATTTGAAGGTTACTTGAAATGTGGTTGTTAGTGGTGAATCGAAAGAAGCAATACATTCAAACAGTATTTAAAACGTGTCAAATTTTTAAAGTAGCAGTGTTTATATGTGGCTCGATCAGAAGTACCTGACAATTTGCCATTCACAAAACTGTGATCGACCAATGACAACCACAAACCAAAAACCCTGGACTAATGAGAGGAATGCATGAACTTTGCACACCAAGTCAGGAGTCCTCAGTAGTCGATTAAAAACAATCCAGTTTGTATTAAATTCAGAATTGTTAAATAAAGCCTATCCGCCTCAGTCTTTGAGATCATTCATACAGCAATCCTCAGTACGAGACATTTGTCCAGGTAACTCTCTGATTTGGGAAAGTGCCCCATGAACAAGAACGAGAAGGCACTACAGTTTCATTCCTAATATTCACTTTGTCTGTAGGTGTGCGACGATTTAAAATCCTATCGATAAACAATGATAAGACTCAATGGAACCGTACAGGAGCACAGTCCTGTACGTAATAGGCTAGTTTTAGTTGAAACACAGGACAGGGAAACGTGGCTTAACATTGAGTTTGTCCTTGATGCCAATGTGGCAGTGTTCCTCAGTATAAAAAGGAGAACACAGGCCTCTGTGTGAGGACAGAGCACGTCTCTGGAGAGCGTCCCTTGCCACTACAGCTTTATCAACTCAAATTATTGCTTGAAAAACAATCCATATAAATTGTGTAATTACGGAGAGTGAAAAAAACAAATTGGTATTATTTTGACAAATTGAATCCCATACACAATCTTCATAAAAGTGCACTTAAGTGCCATTAGCTTGCCAAGAAACAGTTGTCAATAGAAAATAGTGCTTGTTTGTTGGTTTCTGTCTCTGGTCTGTTTTTGTGCCCCAGTAGTTACAGTTTGTACTTGTCAGTCTTGTTGGGTGCTGGTTAAGTGCTTAAGTGCAGTGGCTCCTGTGTGGGACGTCCTGTCACCTACACTCCACCGAGACCCCAGATGTTTGAGAGGATGAGGAGGACACGGGAGGGTCGGCTAACGTCAGCATCACTGCTGCTGTGAGGGAGCTGGACGAGGGAGAGGAGGAAGAGGAGGAGGACGAGCAGGCCGCCACAGCACCTGGAGACAACACAAGTCATGTAAAAATCTGCAGTCGTCTATAGTTCGGCACACAGCTTCAAGCGGTCAACCCTCAAACTTTGTTAAAAGCAAACAAGTAGGTAGGTAGATAATCTTTATTTATATACCGCCTTTTCACTGCACATCGGAGTCTCAAAGCAGTTTACAATTGTGATTTCTTTTGGGAGTGGGGGTGCCAGTACAGGGGGCACATGCCAGACCTATTGTACATATTTTTAGTGGGGAGAACATGCAAACTCCACTCAGAAAGGCCCTGGTCCAACCGGGATTCGAACCCAGGACCTTCTTGCTGAGAGGCGAGAGTGCTATCCACTCAGCCACCGTGCCGCCACAAGAAATTCTAAACAATGGCTTTGTGACTAGTTTATATATCAGTGATGACTTACTTTCCCGTTCTTTTTTCTTCATGCGTTTCCTTCGTCGGTCGATGGACGCCACCTCTGATTTGAGCGAGAGGTAGTGGTTCCTGATGTCCTGTAGTTTCTCCTGAAGGAATGATATCCTCTCCAGACTGTTCATCTTCTCCAGATCAGCTTTAAAATCAATTAGATTATTATATTAACATTGCAACAATTTCTGAACGAGGACAAAATCAGGACAAAGGACTAATATTTAAATTAAGATTTAGATAACCTTCATTAGATAAACTAAGATGAATATTCTAACTCAATTATGTATTGCCTTTGCCACTTACTCATCTGGAAGCTCCATTTGTAGACCCGTGGTGATCGACTGTGGTGATGGTGCTCCCTCTGGTGGTGGGAGTGGTCCATGTCGCTCTGTTTGTGGTATTTATGGCTGGAGGTGGGAGAGCGGCCGGGACACTTGGGTGAAACCACAGACTTCAATTCCAGTGGGGGGTTTTTAGAGGCAGAGGGTTTGGCCTCAGTCACACACTGGTCTTCACTGTCACTGCTGTTGGCTGCAGAAAAGAGGAGAGCATTTAACAGATACTTGACAGACTGCTCTGTCATTATGTGCTGAACAGTGGACGGGGTGATCTGAGATTGCAGGTGAAGGGCAGATGCGGGTCTTACCTGTTTTCCTGTTCTTTTTGGGAGGCACACCGAGGCTCTTTCGGTTTGGCTTGTGTTTCTTTGCGGCAACTACAGGCAGAGATTCTTTCTGCCGTTTCTGACACACTGATGCTAAAAATGAAGAAAGTGCAGAAAAAATAAGATACAGAAGAATGACAAAGACTCTGAGAACAGGCTGTGCTGTACCTTTGGCTTTCTGCTCGCTTTCCTGCGGGCTGCTGCTGCTCAGCTCCAGGCTGCAGCTGCTGCTGTTGCAGGACAAACTGGGGTCAAAGGGTTTTGAGAGGGAGCCGGCCCCCTCGTCCTGAGGCAGGTCCTGCTCCCCCAGACTCTCCACCTCCACAGTGCTGCTGTCAGACTCACTGCGGCCCGGAGCCTCCTCTGCAGAGGGCTCAGGGGGTAGCGGGGCGGAGGGCTCCTGCAGAGGAGTGGGAGGAATGACAAGGTGAGGTGAGGGGGGCTGCGGAGGTCCAGAGTCCTCCACCGCACTGCCTCCTCCTGAAGGAGAGCCAGGGGTGGAGGGCGGAGAGTTCAGCACAGAGTTACTGCTGCTGCTGGGAAACTCCTGTTTGTCCAGGTCCATGTGCTCCTCGGACGCCTCGTCCTCCGGACCCCCCTCAGCGTCCTGCTGGTCACTCAAACAGGACGGGACCGGGGGAGGCGGGGAGTTAGCTGCCTCTGTGTCAGAGTCAGAAAACAGCTCCTTCAGAGTCTTTTTGGGCCACTGGGCCTGGATACTGGACCACACGTCCTTCTGTCCCTTGGAGCGCACGGCAGGTCGCTCCTCTGAGTTTGGAGAAGTCTTGGTCCTTTTCTCTGGGATGTCCCAGAATCCTGCCTGTCGCGCCGCCTTGTTCTTCTCCTTCAGGCCGTTGTACTTTTTTGACGGAGCTCCTTTGGTCTTGGGGCGGCCACGCTCACTGATCACTGGCGGAGCGTCTGTGATGCTCTCATCCTCTGAGCTGCTGCTGTCTCCTGCGGGCACAGCTCCTTTGTCCTGTTTCCGTGGAGACGTCCCAGGGAGCCAGTCTGTGCTCCTCGTGCTCCGGGTCTTGGTTTTGTGGCCCTTGGTCTTCTCCCCGTCAGACTTCCTCTTCCTGCCGCTCACCTCTGGCTCAGGTTCAGCCTGGATCCTCCTCTTCACAGTGTCAATGCTCTCAGCCCCAATTGCATCCTGGGACTTTCCTGGTGCAGGTTTGGAGGTCTCAGGAGGAGCTGCTGACTCCCAGCTCTCTGCAGAGGGACGGGGGCTTAAAGGGGTTTTTCTCCCACGACCAGGTCGCACCTCTGTGCGCCCGGACTCCTCTTCCTCATGCTCACTCTCGTCTGTTGACATCTCTGATGCTGCAAACACAAAAACAAATTGTTAAGTCACAGTTCAAATCACCCATTGCCGTTCTACATCTGCAGAGAGTATTACCTTGTAGTCCATTGAGGATAGATGTGATTTCTATCGACTTGGCAGAAGACTGCGTGTTCACTCTGTCGTCGGCATCGTCCATTTTGGAGAAAACGTCCTGACTCAGACATTTGGGTCGAGGGCCACGATTCAAGCCGAGACCTTCCCTTTGATTGAGCCGCTCCAGTCGGTCCAGCTCTCTCTCTCCCTTGTTCTGTTTGTAAAACCACTGTCAGGACATCAAGTGAAATCGCTTTTCAAAGTCACTATCTACAACCCACGTTACCTTTATTTTCCTGCGGTGCTTTATTTTGGTAACATTCTTATTCGCTGGCCGTAAAATCTTGTCAGCTTTGACCCATTCGTCATATCTAAAAAAGCAGACACAGAAAAGGGGAAATTTTCATTATTCACATCATAGGTCGTTCCTACAGCACATCTAAGCTCTTCACACCACCCAGACGCTTGAACTCCACCCCGACACACAAGCCTCAACAGCAGAAGGCAGTGGTAGTATGAGGAAAAGACAAACCTTTACAATGAGGAAACAATATTAACCCAATCACCACGCAAATCATAGTCGACATAGTTCCCACAGAAGCGAAGGGGCAGAGGGTCAGATGAGGAGAAGTGGAAAGTCTCACAACAGCACACACGACAGACAATGCAGAGCGACCCTGTGTCTTAAATAGAGGGCTACAGGACACACCACAACAGTTAAGACAATGACATATGCTTTATTGAAACTGTTTCCCTGACCGAGTCTACAGAGCACCGAGTTAACGCTGACCCATGGGAGAGGGGGGAGAGGGGTGAGAGGCAAAGGTGAGTGTAGCAGCACTTTTGCCGGCCCTTTTAACATCCAAGAGGTTCCTGGCATTAGTAGATTCATGTACGGAGATTGGATGATTAGATTGTTAATCCAAATCCACCGCTTGAATTAAATACACTTTGGTTCAAGAGACAGACAGGGGATTCAAGTCTTGTTTCCACTGAAGCAGCAACGAGCCAATATGTCAAAATGTTTTTGTCCAAACTGTAACATGCTAAACGCAAACAATGGTATGGGCCAATTGTGATCAGAGTTTCATACAAAATCATAAAAAGTCGGAAAATGGCATATGTTTATGTATCAGAAACTTAAGAGAACACTGCCACACTGCAAATCAATACAGAACCCCATGAATTAAAACTGTATATTCCAAACCACATATTCTTGACCTGACTTGACAAGAAATATTATCTGTAAGCAAAAAAGATATACTAGTGGAAAATGTATATAATAAGTCAGCTCTCCTAGTGTTGCCAGGATAGAAAATATCAAAACTCAATTGTGAGATTAAGAAAAAAATAATAAAAACAATATTTTTCACCTCAAATTCCTTGTCACTGTCCCACAAAGCTTTTTCTGATGCAGTATAAAATGTATCAAAAATGCTTAAAGGTGCGTTCCTGAAATTCTCATGGTGGTGACCTGCTTTATGTGAAGTGGACTGATACCTGCTTCTTATTATTATTTTGCTAGAAATGTCAGTTATGAAGGATTTTAGTGCTTGCGACGCTACAAGCTATTATTACTTACTACTTGTGAACTTCTTGTTTCCAATGTAAAAGGAAGGTTAATTCCCAAACTGTCAAATTATCCAGACAAAACAACAAGATTTAAATCAACCCAAGCAAAAAGCAGTCTCGGCACCAGGACAGTTGAGGAATGAACTATACTTGCTCAAATGAGTAGTTAGTCCTTTATTACCTCAAATGGATACAATTGCGCGCCACACACACTGCCATACTTTCCTTACCACACTCAACAGGGGAAACAAGACTTCAAATCTACAGGGAGCCGAGGAGAGACTAGTTTAGTGCGACCACTAGATGGCAGCGTTGGGAGAGGGATGGGCTGCGGGGTTCTCCCTCCGAGCTGAGGTTAAGAGATGCTGGTTTTAGGGGTGATTGTGGATTGTTAGGTGGTTCTCCCCAAGTCCTGTCTTACCTGATGTTCCAGCCACAGTAGTGCACCAGGTAGAGCACCTCTCCCCCCTCCACGTCTGCCTCTTTCACAGTGGCTGGGTACGTCTTCAGAGAGCGGCCTCGCCCATACCTCACCTGCACCTTCATCCCCGGGGGGTAACACTCAAACTCCTCCTCCCCTTCCTCCCCCTCCTGACTGCTGTCATCCCTGCAAGAAAAACAGTTCAGCACTTCCTAACCCTAGGCTGAAGTCCAAAGTCCACAGATGGCCCTTATCCACTCCCCATCTTGTCTAACTCTACTCTCGACTGCGTTCAAGTAGCAACGTCTGAATAAAAACTTGCCTAGTGTTCTTTTATTGTCCATATTTCAAAGATTATGAATGATAACAGGAAGACTTTTTGTTAGCTATTTATTGTCAATTGAACACGTTCTCCATTTTGAAATTCTACTGACAACAGAAATGACTCAAAGAGCCCAGATCAGAAGTCTCCATTCCAACATCTATGACAGCTTGGAATTTTGTGGCAGTTGTGGATGAGGTCCTTTATCCTCACTCATGAAAAACCTGTCCATTCTTTTTGACAAAAAAACCTCCAGTTCCTGTAAATTCCTTGGCTGCCTTGCATGAACTGCACATTTAATGTAAGTTCATTAGAGAAATTTGCTCTCTGCATTTGACACATCCGTAAAGCCACTGGGGCCTCAGTCAGGAGCAATGGTACAGTGCCCGGATGTCTCCGGATGTTGATGCCCAGCTTGATCAGGACCAGAGCTGGAGGACTTTACCAGTCTGTACTGGACTGTACATGTTGTTTTGTGGCAGGGAAAACCAGAGTACCTGGAGGAAACCTACGCAGAGACACTCCACTCAGCAAGGCTGGTTTCGAACCCAGGACCTTCTTGCAGAGAAGCGAGAGCGCTATCCACTCTCGGTTCTGTTATATTTTGATAGTATAAAACATAATTATGTGAAAATATGTCTTCACACAAACATAAATGAGTAAAAAAAAGTTATCATTCATAATCACCAAAATATAACCAACATTCTCCCTGCACATGTAGACGTTCAAGCACAAGTACATTAAAGGGCCTCTTCCTGATTTTTACAGTATTTTCCTCACCCTCTAACTCTTCTTCATTCCAAGTTTATAGGATTTTCTTTGTTTACACCTAAGAAACCAGCTAGCCAGGGTTTGACAGTAACTTCCTTTTTCTCAGACAATAAAACCATTATCAGATTAAAAAACACATTAAACTACTAATAACAACACAAGCTGCTTTTACTACATAATTGCACTGGGACAAAGCCAATTTCTCCTTACTAAGTGGGAAATACAGGCTTGTCTTTTTCAACCAGTCAAAACAAGACATGGGGAATAAACAAAAGTTAATATTGGTTCATAAAGCACAAATAGCTATATCATCAAACTGCCATTCCATTCACACGCACAGTATGGAAAAGGCCACACAGGGGAGCTAGTGAGAGAGACAGAGGGGAAGCTGCGTTGCCAGTACAAAACAGGCCATAGAAGGCATAGGGTCATGTTAGCACAGCAAAGCCTAGGCAAAGCAGTGCAGCCAGTCTACAGTGTTACAAAGGGAAGTGCAAATGAAGATTTGATCCATTACCACAGCAGCTGCAAACCAGAGCCCTTCACCGCACCCCAAAACCCACACCACACCCCCATACCAGCACATATTAATAATGAACAGAAGTTTACAAAAGCACCATAATGCAAGGACAGAACTCATTGGACTATAAGATGCTACCTGAGGTGCAGGAAGGGATTTAGACAGAGCTCCATCAGCTGTTGACAGTGAGTTTATGTGAACAGCAGAGAGACACGAGGAAGTGCAGGGAATTACATGGGACTTGTTTATATGCGAGTAGGGCGGCTGTAAGAGGACATTTTATGGACTCCTTCAAGTTTTATAAGGGATGATATTGTCAAAATAGACTCAACAGAGTCATGTTCTGTTCACTTAAAACAGTTTTATAGTTGTTTTGTATAGCACTTTTTAGTTGTCTGTCGTATTTTTTTTCCCCATTAATTAATCACTTAGTTAAGTGTTTACATTACAACATGAAAACTTGAGGCTTATAATCAAGTGCGGCCTATATGTGGACAAAATCTACTTTCATGTTGCGGTTTATATACAGGTGCGCTTAATAGTCCAGCAAGTACAGCAAGTACTGTAAGTCCTTAAAGATTTCAAGTCAAGACATCCAAATTCTTAATCCACACCATCTTCCGTAATACACATGATAGTTTGCAAGTTCCACAGATTGATTTATCCTTTTCACCGGCAAAAAATAGAGGCAAGCAAATAACTTATATAGAGTATAATGTGACAGAAACATAGTACAAGCACAATGTAGTGTAAGATGAACCATTTTAATACCAAGTACTTATGTCATGAGTGGATCTCAGATTAGAACAATAACAATAGTTATAGGTGCTTTCTAATTTGATACTCTTGAATATGGATCCATTATGTCACCAAAGCTTGCACTCATCGTTGGTGTTTTAAGCATATGTACAGGAGGCTTTGCATTGATAGTATTTTCAGGGACTAAACAGCTGCTTATGGAAATCTCACTGCCTTTTCCAACTCCCTCAGCACATGATGAGACTGACCAGAACAAAGTGGTGCAGAGTAATGAGCTCAAGCAAACAGCTGCAGCATTAAACTCAAAACAAAACATTGAATCAAACCAGAAAATGTGATACTATTAGAAAACTGAGAGTTTCTATTGGACCTGGCAGTATTGTTGTAGAAAAGTACAAAAATCCCAGAAACCCTATCCCACAAGATGACTAAATACAATCACAATTACGGTAAATACAGTGTAACTTATGTAACTCTTGAACCGTTTATAAGAAATCCATCACAGTCAGACATATTGTACCTCATTATACCTCATTTTAAAGCCAATTGCCTCAAGAAACAGACCACTTAAACAATCATTTGTTTTACCCAAAACTATGAACCCATAATGCAATTAGTAATCATTCACATTTAATTATTTGTTCAATAGACCTTCATGATGTAAAAAAGTAAATTCACAAAGTAATAATAACCACAGATGCAAAAGATGAGCAAACAAATAAAACACTGAATATCTTAGTATCCATGTTATTTTCTTTTCCATCAACATCCATCAAGCCATTATGAAAGAACCTTGAAAATGTCATAACTGCAAAGAGTGCATTAGCTCTTGTTTGTTTGTGCAATCCAATCCACCTGGCATGTTAGTTGTTAGCTGGCACCTAGTTGTTAAACAATAATAATACAAAAATCACCCTTTAAAAGCTGCTATTTAAATTAGTCATCGGGTACTCAAAACATTTTAAAACATATCTTCATCTTTACTGTTTATGTTCATTATTCGAGCCTTTGAATGGTAGAGTTTAACAAAAAAGTCGGCAGAGAATGAATGCACAGAAAATGTACTGAAGAACGAGTCAATATATACATCATCTACAGATTTATGCCCAATGCTGACTCTGATCTAGTTCCTGAGTAGAATAATCCACTGGAGGAGAAAGTAAACCTGAAGTCGGTGGACAAACAGAAAACTCCTCTCAGACTCTGTCAACACCAAACAGCGACGATAGCATCAGAAAAACTGTTATTATCCGATCATTATCAGCAACAGTCTGAACACAAAGTCCGGCCTCAACTCCGGCTCCAGCGGCGAGAGAAGAGAGATGAGGAGAGTGTGTCATGACATCACAGCCCTGACTCTCATGACAGCGCCGTTTCTACAGAGTCAACACATACCATACCATATGTTTTTGACCCATGGTGTCCCAATAATGATGATGATGTTAAAACAGAAATGTATAACAGATAATTCCAAATGCTGCATACTCCATTGCACCCATGATCTTTGCACCATACAAGGTTTTTTTCACCAAACTTCAACGTAAAAACACCTTCTGTTAGACTATCTTTTTATAGAGTTGCAGTCCGGTATGAAATATGCTGAATACATTAGGGCTGTAACTAACAATGCCTTTAGTTGGCTGATTAATCGATTAGTCGTTTAGATTCTGAAAGCTCAGTGGATATGGAATTTTTAATGCATTTAACCAAAACAAAGTAATCTCTATGAACATCTTTTCATAGGGATTACTTGTTACACATTGGGTTCTAAAAATACTACAGCAAACACTAATACTAAAACCTCTTCTAAGCATGTTTGAGATTATTTAAGCCTACTAAATTAGTTGGAAGCTATCTAAATAAAAATTAGTGTTGATTTATAGTAGGGCTGTCAAAATTATCGCGTTACCTCTCGTTAATTCAATTTTTCATTAACGAGCAAAAAATTAATGATCGCATGAACGCATGAACGCATGTCCAAATGACCCGCCCAGTTATCCATATTATCACTCAGAATGCCGCGTACACATGCCTGTGAGAGATGGCAACAGAGCAGGTCTCTGGGAATTCAAGTTTTAAAAGAATACGAGCGTGACCGCGGGGCTACAGTCTATGAACATTTTGGTTTTGCCTAAAAGTAAAAGGTTGAGAGCAATTCAAACAGATTTACGTACATTTGGTATGAATGACAATGTGTCATTATATTTGATAATCTCATTTAACTTCAATTGGAACGGATTTGAAATAGAATGTTAAAGATGCGATTAATCTCGAGTTGACTCACCATTACTATGCAATTAATCAACAAAATATTTTTTATCGTTTTTGACAGCCCTAATTTATAGATTCACTTGTTCCAGCCGTAATAATATACATAACATATTCATTTGTTGCAACATGTCAAAACCTTGCATGCCTTCAAAACAACTTTTTATAGTCCTCTGCCCACCACGACCAGGGGAATAACAACAAGTATATAACAAGTATCCACGACTTGAACCAAGAAAACAGTCCACGACAAAAGTCAACCAAGCGGCACACGTAATCCACTGCTTACAACACTCACACACATGTAACATTGAGGAAAAGTGGGACATCGAAAGCCAAAAGACAAGAGAGAGAGAGAGAGAGGTTCAGGAAAAGGCGAGAACCGAGGGCGTGTGTGGAGTGAAGTGGGAAGAGAAGTGGGAGGAGGGGGGGTGACAGAGGCAGAGGATGTGTGTGACATGTCAGGAGAGCGGAGCGGCTGAAGGGTGTCTGGAGCAGCTGATGCCACGGAATAATTATAGCAAAAGGCCAAAAGGAGCAGCGAGAGACTGAGAGAAGCTGCAGGTCAAGGCAGAGAGTGGAGTGGATGGTGTTTACGGAGGCTGTGTCAACCAGCTGTAGGTGCCACGAGAAATATGACTGCATGTTTACGTTTGGTTATGTTTTACTTTTCATGTTAGATTTGTTTTTAGTTGTCATTGACACAACTGCGGCCAATGCGGTTTATTTCAAAGTTTGCTTGGCCAAAGGTTAGTTACTTTTCAAATTGTGAAGATGAGATGTTTTTTTAATTCAAGGTCCAGCTAGTCCCACCTCCACAGGTTCCTGAATGGATGCAATCATTTCAAGTTCTCGAGGCTAACTCAATAGCTCATTGAAGCCTAATAGGGAAGTGCTCATGGATAAAGTTTTGCTCCAACTCCTATTGACTTACATGAAAAGTAAACTCCTCCAGCTCAATAAGCGTTTGTGGTTTAACACTTGCTGTGATCAATACCATTCAATTTGTGATTTGTTAGTGATGATTCAACGTTCATATTTTTTACAACACACACAGGGGAATTATGTGAAATATGAACATGATATTAGCTTTTACATTTTTAAAACATGACAATTAGCTTTAAAAATATGAGTTTATTTTATTTTCAATTGGATAAATGTGACTTATACATTGTATTGTAACATAGTGGCACGAGCCGGCCAAGGGACAGCTCAGACCTGTGGAGAATTGGCTCTTTCCTGATAGTTATTGAGAGTTTAAAACACCTTCCGTAAATCATTTTTATTTTTTATTTTTTTACGCTGACCAACGTTAAATAATGAAAGAAAGCCGGCCCTCCCACTAGAAAATTCACACATTTTATACCGTTATTGTGTGTGAAAAACTAACTTACCTAGTTTAGATGCTACAAAAACCCTTTCTTTCCATTATAGATTTAAAATAGATTTTTGTTACATAATTATACTGAAAACCCTTACTTTTAACTTAGTAGCTAACCACAGTGAGATAAATAAAGTCTATCTTTCATTTCAATCCCTTTTATTCATCCGTTTCTGGGTCAGGGGGCTGGCAATCAGAGCTGCCACCCAATTCCCAATGCACCAGTCCCTCGCTGATCCTCCTGCAGGTGGTGGGCCCACAGGAAGATGGCCTTGGTCTTTCAGCAGGCGCATCAGGCAGAGTGGGGTTAAGTGTCTTGCCCAGGGACACAATGACAGCAGACATCAGTGGGAGCAGGTGACATGGGTCGTGGTGGGATCGAACCCACGACCATTATGTCCAAAGACCAATGCTCTACCAACTGAGCCACTGTTGCCCCCTATCATATCTAACAAAAGCTCAAAATCAAAAGTTCTGATTCTCATCTTGGGCTGTGGATCATTGTTTTTCATTGTTTTTGATGTTCTAAAGCATTGTCCAAATATTAAAAGTTTTGTTTGTGAACCTCTGAATGACACCAGCGTTGACAAAGCCTCACAGTGATGTCGGATGCGGGGGGAGTATGTTTAAGCTGCACTACTTCCACACTCACCCGGAGTTGTCTTTGGCCTCTTGCTCCTCGTCTCTCTTGGCGCTGTCCGGCCCCAGTCGTCCCGTGGAGGAGCCTTCGTCTGCGTCGCCTTTGTTTGAATCCACCTCTTCGTGATCGTTTTCTGTTCGATCTGGTTTTGAGGATTCACTCTCCGCTTTGTTGTGCACTTCTGGCTTCTCCTCCTGGATTTAACAAACACAATGATAATGAGGCTGTTGGCTTTGGCGGTTCATGTTTTAGAATGATTTTATTCTAAATCATGTAGAAAATGAACGGATAAACTTGCACACAGAAGGATACTCCCTTTTATGAAATTGTGTGAAACTGTTTTTATAACCTGTAATAGTATGTAACTGTGTGTGACTTTTGCGGACTCTTGTCCAGGAATCTCTTGAAAAATAGGTTCTTAATCTCAATGGGACTTTCCTGGTTAAAAAAAGGTAGATAAAAGAATCTCAGCATGTAATTCCCTACTTCTACCAACATTTGATACTGCAAATACAGCCACAACAATTGTAATGATACCAAACAAAGCAAATTTGGAGTCAATACTTCTGTTTTAAAAGGCCGATAGTATGAACATATTATAGATTATATAAAATACAGGAGCATTTAGACAAAAAGGAGTGAGAAGTGTTTGTGTTCCCGATATGGATGGGGCTATAACTCCAGGTCTGTTTATGATGAGGAAGCACTGTTACAACAACGTTAAAAGCTCAAAAAAGATGATTTAGCATAATATGTCTCCTTTGGAAAAAGCTGACACAATCAAAACGGCTACAAACCGCTAGTTTTGCAACAACACGATACGGAAAATGTATGCGACAATTAAAGGTCAGATAATAAACAATAATGGTCGTTTTGGAGAAATGCCAAGACAGAATACTGAGCATATAGTTACTTTAATATACCACTTATAAAAAACACTGCAAACAGATCAAATAGTATGCATTATCAGTCTACACGATGGCATTTAGTCATGGTCTTGAGAGAATATGCGTTCATATTTTTTATAATGAAACAAGGAAAGAGAAGACTACAATGAGAAACACCTCAAAGGAAGTTGTAAAAAAACATAATTTTGTAAAATGGAATTGAAAATTACATCACAGTCTAAGGATTTGTGAACGAGTTTGGAAAAGGAGCATAGACATAAGGGATGGGAGAAAGTGCTTCAGATCATATTCAATACATCAGCCGTTTGCAGTTAGAAACCAGATTGGAATACCAGGTGTAGACCAGGGACATAAGGACAGTTGTGCCGGTTTGAGCAAGGAATTCCTGACAGTAACATGGATGGAGATAAAAAAACACTGTCGGTCTGTTTGGGAAGAGCCTAGTTCAAAACTCATACTAAATTTGTACTTTCAAGTTTTGTGCAATGAATGGACTTCAAACTGTCTGATGCAGTAAAAATATGAAAATCATTATCTTTTCGGACCGCTTTGAACATCCACCTCCCATAACGAAATAGGGCCCACGCAGAGCAAAGGCAGACATAGGACCACGGCAGTAGGACTGGACTAAAGACCACAGCAGTAGGACTGGACTAAAGACCACAGCAGTAGGACTGGACTAAAGACCACGGCAGTAGGACTGGACTAAAGACCACAGCAGTAGGACTGGACTAAAGACCACGGCAGTAGGACTGGACTAAAGACCACGGCAGTAGGACTGGACTAAAGACCACAGCAGTAGGACTGGACTAAAGACCACAGCAGTAGGACTGGACTAAAGACCACGGCAGTAGGACTGGACTAAAGACCACGGCAGTAGGACTGGACTAAAGACCACAGCAGTAGGACTGGACTAAAGACCACGGCAGTAGGACTGGACTAAAGACCACAGCAGTAGGACTGGACTAAAGACCACGGCAGTAGGACTGGACTAAAGACCACGGCAGTAGGACTGGACTAAAGACCACGGCAGTAGGACTGGACTAAAGACCACGGCAGTAGGACTGGACTAAAGACCACGGCAGTAGGACTGGACTAAAGACCACGGCAGTAGGACTGGACTAAAGACCACGGCAGTAGGACTGGACTAAAGACCACAGCAGTAGGACTGGACTAAAGACCACGGCAGTAGGACTGGACTAAAGACCACGGCAGTAGGACTGGACTAAAGACCATGGCAGTAGGACTGGACTAAAGACCACAGCAGTAGGACTGGACTAAAGACCACGGCAGTAGGACTGGACAAAAGACCACGGCAGTAGGACTGGACTAAAGACCACGGCAGTAGGACTGGACTAAAGACCACGGCAGTAGGACTGGACTAAAGACCACGGCAGTAGGACTGGACTAAAGACCACGGCAGTAGGACTGGACTAAAGACCACGGCAGTAGGACTGGACTACCTTGCAGGCGGTGGGCTGTAGTGTCCCTGGTTCTTCCTGGATTCGGTTCTCATTTGAACTGGATCCGGTCGATCCCTTCTCCCCGTCTGGCTTCCCTTCAGCCTTGGGCCCCTGCTTCAGCGGGAGATCCATCCTGAAGCAAATGGCCGTGGAGTTGCAGTATTCCTCAAAGCCGTACAAGTACCTGCGGGGAAGCAAGACAGCGCTTTTATTAACGTCTTTGAACCAAGAATCGTGTAGTGTTCATAAAGAAAAGTGAGTCTCGAGCTCCACAGAAGAACGTATTCAAATGCTCTATAATAAATCTGAACTATAAATTATGCACGACAAGTTTTAGATATATTTCCCTGCAAGACATTACTGGGAACTTTTATGTTGGCAAATTAAGGAATCCATTATTTTACTGATTTAAGGGTAGCAACAATTATATAATAAACTATACTATAAAAAACCTCTTGTTAGCAACTATTGACATATTAACTGTACGCTGATGTTGTTTCCTAGTGAAATAACTAAGCCCAAGTTTAATTATAGCCTTAATGATTGATAATTGTTAAAAATATTACAGCTAATTTAGATTTTTTCACTCCAATAAATCTTACTTTCTTAACGCTTCTAAAAACGCACTAAAATCCTCAAAGTTGAGAGTGGATCGAAGTGGAAGTGTACGTACTTGCGGTAAGCACATTTCACATTGTAGCCGGCAGCCGTGTTGAGGATAGGGATTCCCAGATTTTGATAGACTTGTTTCCAAACGGCCCCGCTTTCGATCTGCGCAAGCAACAGAAGAACGGGTGAATGCAATAAATATACATTAATGATTTTTAAAAACTGTATTCGCAGCCGTACTCACGTTGTCGAAGCCGCCGAGTTTCTGCACCAGTCTGTAGAGCTTAAATAAGTTCAGGTTCTTGTAGCCCAGAACCGGGCGCTTGTTGATGGCGGTGCCTGAGGAGGACAGAACATATAAATACTCCTGTAACAATCAGATTTGGTTCAGATTCAGTTTATTTGCCATTTGCAGTAAAACCACATTGGAATGATTATCACTGCAAAATGAATACAAAACACCACCAAACTATTTCATTTCATTAAAAGCTGGGGGTACCTCATTTTTACACCACCAATAATACGGTAGCAGCCTGTTGATGGATTACATACGTTATGTTGTTCAGTGCTCCCCGAGGGGGGCGTGACTGTTTACATCTGAGCCCCCTCGGACCCCACCGCACTCCCCCGCCTCCTGCTCACCAGCACCGGGTGAGTACAACGGTGCAAACACTGCTCCCTGTCCGTCTGGCAGTGCATTACCAGTCCAAACACTGAACTGTGCTGACTCCCTTCTGACTCTGGGAGCTAAAGAACAACAAGGGTTTTCACATTTTAGGCCAATTGAGACTGTGTGTGTTCCTCGCACCAGCTCAAAAATGTTTTTAAATTCTAAAAAACGAAATCAAAACAGGACAGCAGTTAGACGGTCCAACTCTGCAAATCTAATTTCTGTTCCCTGTAGAAATCAATCAACCACATTAATCGACTCTGACGTTATTTTTAAACTTGCTATGCTTAATGTCAGATCTCTATGTAACAAATCATTTTTAATTAATAATTTTATCACTTCTTATGATCTTGATTTTATGCTTATGACTGAAACATGGCTGGACCAAAATACAGGAAATGCAGTTCTAATAGAAGCAACACCACCCAATTTTAAATTCGAATCCGAAATACGAGAAAACAAAAGGGGGGGAGGCATAGCTGCAGTTTTTAGAGAGCACTTTGTCTCCCATAGAATGCCCCTTGGAAATTTTTCATCGTTTGAGTATATTTCTTTTAAAATGGAACAAAAGCAATCTTCTACTCTTTTCATTGTCCTGTACAGGCCACCACAGTCATGTTGCGATTTTATTGACCATTTTACTGAACTACTTTCATTCGTGTGCACAGATTTTGATAGTTTAGTTATTACAGGTGATTTTAATGTACATGTTGATAATGTTGATGACAGAAATGCAAAGGAGCTGGCTTCTGTATTTGAGACCTTTGGTTTCATTCAGCACGTGAGTGGCCCCACCCACAGCAGGGGGCACACTCTTGACCTGCTAATTACAAAGGGGGTTAATGTATCAAATGTTAATGTAGTTGATGTTGCTTTGTCAGATCATTTCTGTGTATTTTTTGACATGTGTTTTGCTAGCAAACCACCAGCTGAATTTACAACTGTTAGAAGAAGACACATACATGAAAACACAAGTGAACTGTTCATGGGAATGCTAAATTTTGAGAAAACTCCATGCTCTACTGTTGATGAATTGTATAACTCTGTCACCACCAGTGTTCTGACTGTTCTGGACGCCATTGCTCCTGTGACGGTTAAAATAGTTACCAGTAAGAAAAAGGCCCCATGGACTAAGGCAGACTCGGTTAGGGCACAGAAGCAAGAGTGCCGGAGGGCCGAACGGAAGTGGCGAAAGTCCAATTTCCAGGGCGATTATGAAATCTTTAAAGATGAGTTGGGTGAATTTAACCGGGTTCTACGTAGAACAAGAGAAATGTATTTTTCTGACATTATTGGAGGTTGCAGTAACAATTTTCGTGTTATGTTTTCAACAGTTGGTAGATTAACGAACCCCCCTGTAAAGTTGCCCCTAGAATTTTCCTCTAAATCTAGGTGTAATGAGTTCGCACAGTTTTTCGATGACAAAGTACAAGGAATCAAAAACACTATCACCTCCACAGCACGTATAACAATGCAACAGCCAGAGAAGCTTTCTGAGCTAACTCACTTTGCACCTGTGGATACTGAAACTGTCAAAAAGATAATCATGAGTCTGAGCTCCTCCACATGTAGCCTGGATATATTGCCCTCTAAATTTCTGAAGTCCGTCCTGAGCAGTTTGTTACCTTCACTGACACAAATAGTAAACATGTCTCTGTCGTCAGGAACATTTCCTATGGCCCTAAAAACAGCAGTCATAAGACCTCTCCTAAAAAAGAGCAGTCTGGATCCTGCGGGACTTCAAAATTATTGCCCCATATCGAATCTGCCATTTATTGGAAAAATTCTTGAAAAAGTGGCCTCCCAACAACTTACTGAATTTTTAACAATGAATAATTCTTTTGATATGTTCCAGTCTGGGTTTAGACCCCACCACAGCACTGAGACCGCTCTAGTGAAGGTAACAAACGACATTCGACTTCACACTGATGCAGGTAAAGTCACAGTTTTGGTCATGTTAGATCTTAGTGCCGCGTTCGACACTGTCGACCATGAGATCCTCATGCAGAGACTGGAGGACTGGGCTGGTGTCACTGGCACAGCCCTAGACTGGTTTAGGTCTTACCTGGAGGATAGGAAGTACTCTGTGGAGATTGGAGACTGCGTCTCAGATGATGTGGCCCTGACCTGTGGTGTACCACAGGGGTCGATCCTGGGACCTCTCCTATTTAATCTCTACATGCTGCCGTTAGGTCAGTTAATACAAAGAAACAAAGTGTCCTACCACAATTACGCTGACGACACTCAGATCTATGTCTCACTGACTGCAGGAGAACATGGACCACTGGATTTGCTCCTTCACTGTATCCAACAGATCAGTGACTGGATGCAAAATAATTTCCTCCAGCTAAATACAGACAAAACCGAAATCATTGTCTTTGGTCCCCAGAAACAAAGAGAGGGCGTCATTTGTCAACTTCAGTCTCTCTCCCTACTTCCTTCAGACAAGGTCAGAAATTTGGGGGTAATACTGGACTCAGACCTAAATTTCAATAGCCACATAAAATCAATAACATCAACAGCTTTTTACCATCTGAAGAACATTGCCAAAGTTAGAAATATAGTGTCCAGGGCAGACTTGGAGATTCTTGTCCATGCATTTGTCTCCAGCAGGCTAGACTACTGCAATGGCCTGCTTACAGGTCTGTCCAAACAGACCTGTAAGCAGCTGCAGTACATCCAAAATGCAGCAGCTAGAGTCCTGACAGGAACCAGGAAGTATGACCATATTAGTCCGGTCCTCAGGTCTCTGCACTGGCTTCCTGTGGCTCAAAGAATAGATTTTAAAACGGCTCTGCTTGTGTACAAGTCTCTCCATGGCCTTGCACCAGAATACATTAGTGACATGTTGGTGTCATATGAACCGGCCCGGACTCTGAGGAGCACAGGGACTGGCCTCCTGCTGATGCCCAGAGTGAGAACCAAACATGGGGAGGCTGCGTTTCAGATCTATGCAGCTAAGATCTGGAACAATCTCCCTGAAAATGTGAGGGAGGCGTCTACTCTGTCAATGTTCAAATCCAGGTTAAAGACTGTTCTGTTTGCCTGTGCATACAACTGAAGGATTTTATCTCCATTTTTAATGCACTGCTGTCATTTATTTATTTTTTTAAATTTCTTGTGTAATTTTGAAAGTTTTAATGGTTTTATTCTTTTGTGTGATTTTAATGTTTTAATTGTGTTTTAATCTTTTGTGTGATTTTAATGTTTTAATTGTGATTCTGGTGTTTGTTTTATGTGATGATTTGTGATGTGGACTGTGAAGCGCTTTGTGTTGCCATGTGTATGAAAGGCGCTCTACAAATAAACTTTGATTGATTGATTGATTGAATAAGGTTTATATATGTAATTAAATTCACCCGACTCTAGATTGCGCACATCGTTTTGGCCTCTGTCAGCTCAGTGTTAAAAGTTGATGTTTTGTAATGCAGTATCTGTTAGTAAGTACAGTTAGTAAATACAAAACCATAACCTCCTGAGACCCTGCGACCTCATACGAGGACATTACATTTTTGCCTCTTGGCACAATGATACTCAATTTTTTACATCCTTGACCTGATGGCCACATTTAGGGACACTGCCCGCGCCATCTTGTGGTGATATGATAGAATTACACTTAAGGCAGTAGGAAAAAAATGGTGGCAATATCAGCAAAAGACTTCTACAAGAGTTCACAGAAGAAAAATGCCCCAGGTAAAAATTCTATCAACATTTTATGAATGAAATCAATTTTTTTATGCACAATAATGTCTCTAGCTTCATATGGAGTTTGAAATTTGACAAATTTTGATTGTAGTAGCAGGCTAGGATGTCAGTAAAAGTGAAGCACTCGTTTGAGGACGCTAGGACTATGTACCGCTATCTGTTTAGCTAACCGTGTGGAAGATTTAGATGAAGTTACAGTTGTAAATAGTTATTTTGAATCACACATTTGCTTAGTTATGTGGTTTACAGTTGTAAATAGTATATTTAAGTACTAAGTGGTATATGCTAAGTATTGTTTAGTGTTGCTAAATTCTAAATCATAAACAATATAGCTAGGCTATAGCTAGCACATGATAGCCAAGCTATGAAGTGTCACTGATATACTGTAGATTTTGATGTTGGTTTTTAACATTATCATTACAGGCACACTTTCATTGTCAAGAGCAGAACAATTGCTGTTGGCAATTGCAGACAACTCTGAGATAGAGGACTTCTCAGATGGGGATGATTGTATCATCATCTCATACCTGTCAGTCATCTTCTGGTGTTTCCCACGGGGAGAGGCGGCGAGCTGGGGTGGCCATACTCATTGCCCCCCATCTCAGCCGCCATGTGTTGGAGTTCTCCCCGGTGAATGAGAGGGTCGCGTCCCTCCGCCTCCGGGTGGGGGACAAGTCTCTCATTGTTGTGACGGCCTACGGGCCTAACAGCAGTGCAGAGTACCCGGCCTTCTTGGAGTCCTTGGGAGGGGTACTGGACGGTGCACCTCCCGGGGACTCCGTTATTCTCCTGGGGGACTTCAACGCCCATGTGGGAAATGCCAGTGACACTTGGAGAGGGGTGATCGGGAAGAACGGCCCCCCTGATCTGAACCCGAGCGGTGTTCAGTTGTTGGACTTCTGTGCCAGTCACGGTTTGTCCATCACGAACACCATGTTCGAGCACAAGGGTGTCCACCAGTGCACGTGGCACCAGGACACCCTAGGCCGGAGGTTGATGATCGACTTTGTTGTCGTATCATCTGACCTTCGACCGCGTGTCTCGGACACTTGGGTAAAGAGAGGGGAGGAGCTGTCAACCGATCATCACCTGGTCGTGAGTTGGATCCGCTGGCAGGGGAAGAAGCCGGTCAGACCTGGCAGGCCCAAGCGTATAGTGAGGGTCTGCTGGGAACGTCTCGCTGAGCCCCCTGTCAGACGGACTTTCAACTCACACCTCCGGGAGAGCTTCTCCCAGGACCCAGAGGAGGGGGACATTGAGTCCGAGTGGACCATGTTCTCTTCCTCTATCACCAATAAAGCGGCTCGTAGCTGTGGTCGCAAGGTCTCTGGTGCTGGTCCCGGCGGCAATCCCCGAACCCGGTGGTGGACACCGGCAGTAAGGGATGCCGTCAGGCTGAAGAAGGAGTCCTATCGAGCAATGATGGTTCGTGGGACTCCGGAGGCAGCTGTCCAGTACCGGCAGGCCAAGCGTGCCGCGGCCCGGGAGTTGCAGAGGCAAAAACCCGGGACTGGGAGGAGTTCGGAGAGTCCATGGAGCATGACTATCGGTCGCCCTCAAAAAGGTTATGGCAAACCCTCCGGCGCCTCAGGAGGGGGAAGCAGTGCTTTGCCAACACCGTGTATGGTGCGGGTGGAGAGCTGCTGACCTCGACTGGGGATATTGTAATCCTAACCCTAACCCGGAGATGGTAGCCTTGAAAAACCCCATGCGTTGCAGAGCACAAGACTGCATTGGAAAAGCCTGTGTCCGATGCATGACATGCAATGTGTACCTGTGCTTGCAAAGTGAATGCAACTGCTTTGCAGCATTTCACACTTGCCAATAGGGCTCTTCCAAACAGGCAGACAGATTGCTTTCTAGAAAAAGAGAGGGAGCTAGTTTGAAAAAAGCCCCGGTTCATAAGCTGTTCAGCAGAATTTTACTGTTTTAGGACTGTTAATAATATTTGCCATTATTTGTTCTAGTATTGTATTTATCAATTCAATTCAGCCATATTGAAGGCTTGAAATAGACAGTTTACACAGTATTTTGCGGTTTTATTTATGTATAGCCAATTTTTTGTCATGTGGATGAATGAAGAAAAAGGGAACCCAAATTGCAGGACTGAAAATCAAAGTAATTTAATAAAATAAATCCAAGGTAATGTAAAAACAGAACTGAAGACAGGACAAACATTGTGGAGACAATGGACGGACAACAAGTGAGGAAGGGCACAGGGTATATACACACACACAGGGACACACAGGGACACACAGGGACACACAGGGACACACAGGGACACACAGGGACACACAGGGACACACAGGTGAATCACATTAGGGCGGGGCAACAATCAACAGGACAGGCAGGATTCAAACTCAACCAGGTCAAAATGTCCACACCATGACATTTTTAGGCTTTGAAGATTTTATGTCTAACTTTGATGTTTACATTTTTCAAATAAACTGTTATATACTATTTTAGACCAATGGAGTCTATTTGTATTGTATAGTAAGGTCGACCCACTGTACTTATATGAGGACATTGATTTTTGAGAGAAGTACTAATTGGATCAAGCTGAAATTTTGAATTTCAACTAATTAGGACCTTCCGGCCTAAAAGATCATACATTTTCTCTTTAGGTTATGAGAGACCCACTGTCCTCATACGAGGACATGTTTTTTCTCAAAAACTACTTCCTGTACAAAATCACAATTTAGGTATTATACTTATTGGGTCCTACTTATCCTAAATAGCAAAAAAATATATAAAATGCACACCAGACAAATGCTCGGGTCTCAGGAGGTTAAAACCAACTTATTTTCAATATGTAGAGCTTTTGAATGATATTCTCTTGTAATTAAGAGTGAATTATAATCAGGTTGCCATCAATTCATGTATGGTGTCGTCGCATGAAGTTTTACCTCTTGGTGAAGAATAAATAATCAGTTTGAACAAGATAAATATACAATAGATTATTTTTTGTGATGAATTGTCCGCTCACCTCGGTCCTCCATGAACTTGTAAAGCTGCTGTAGAAAGTTTTCCCTCTCCTCTGGATACGGCTCCACCTCCTCCTGGTCCAAAACACAAACACACTGTTACGTGCCGTCTATGCCCTCAGAACTTATTGTCAAAAAGAGACATGATCACTGTCACTTTACATTGATTTAATTTTTTTCCCCACAAAGAAAAACATGAGTAGAAGTGGTGCGACTTGAAAAAACGTCAACATTTGAATCCCGCCTGGTTGTGGTCTTGACATAACTTTGATTTACACATGACTTTGAAATGATTTGGAATATTACATTTCCACACAATTTACTCAGATTTTCTTATAAGAAATGGGTAATATATAGAAATAATCTTTCACACACGCGTATAGTTTTTGGTTGGTTTGACGTTTAATACAAACACTGAACCACACATTTAAAAAAGTTTGATTTTGCTTTTGAATATCATTCTCAAAATACTCCAAAAGTAATTCTAGATATTCTGTTCTCTCCCGATGGTTCAGCTCTTGTTGTAGCTCTAGTATAAACACAGTCTGTACCTCCTCCTCCACTCTGTTGGCCTCTTCCTCCTGCTCCTCCTCCTCTTCATCCTCGTCTTCCTCGCTGCTCGAGCTCTCCTCCTTCACTTCAGTTTTCCATCCGCTCGGCACCACCAGCTGCAGCAGGAAGTCCAGGGCGGCGTCCAGAGCTGACAGAGACAAGAGCATATGCCACATTAGTCCCGCATTTAAAAATCACACTTTTAATATAAAGCAGGGAAAGCTTTATTTTTGTGTTTTTTTCTTTTTCACATTATCAAGATATTTTGGACAATTATGATGATCACCTTTCTTTAATATGGGTTCGGATTTTAGGGTTTGGTAGATTTTTTAAACCAGAACTGTAAAGTTAAAAATGGCTGGGTACTGTTGACATTTTTTTTCCTATGTATTTTGTTATTACTAATTATTAACAATTACATTATACAGTCATTGTCTAGAGTGATGTAGTGGTTTTCCTGAGAAATGTACCTTTAAAATTAGCCACAACATGCGATGGAGCAAATCAGCCGGATGGGAAGAAGGTTGGGCAGATTTAAAATGTCAAAAATTATAAATTGAATATCTTTTATGATGACTCAGAGAATGAAACTAACTCCAAGGCTGGTGTCAAATGAATATACCGGAGTGTATTGTTGATGGTTTTGTCAATCTGCTTTTTATAAGAGGCGGTGATACATGCGCTTCTACACTCCACACATGAGAGCTGCCCATCATCGTTACTGCACAGAACCTCAATTCCCACAGATTATGGAGTGGATCTGAGTCACTTCAAACGGTCAACAAGACGCCAGTTAATCTCAGAACAAAGAAGGAAGAGACGACGACTGGTGTGAACAATCTGAAGGTGTCACTAAGTAGAAACAAAACTGAAAGCAAATGTGTTACGTCGGAGATGAACACATTTCTTTCTCGGGTCTATAATGCATGAGGGCTGCAATTAATACATTTGTAATGTTTCTTTGATTTCTCATCACCAGTCATTGTTTGGGTCTTTTGAATCATTTAAGTCAGTAAAAGGCATGAAGTTTGTGTTTTAAACTCTGTAGGATAGGAAAGCATGATAACTGGTAATATTATAACATGTTCTGGCACAAACATAGACCGTGGAAGATCACATTTGTCAAAAGTCCTAATGCTATTCAATGTACTGAAGAAGATGACAAAGTCTGGGATCGCGTCTTTAATTCAGACAGAAGACATGTTTTATTGTTGATGGTAGACGCACGGACACGCACACGGACAAAGGACGTTAGACAGCAAGTGGTAATATACTCAGGAGAAACAGAGACCTCCAATCAGCGTTTGCCACAGTGTGCTTGTAGCTTCAACCTTGAAATAACAAAAACAGGTAGTGGAAAAGTACAGGCTTCTGCACACTGACAGAATGATGAGTTTAACTTTAACAAAAGTTGCTTCAAAGTGCTATGAAATCTCACAGTACTGACATTTACATTCTGATGTAGCAAAAACTGGCACAAAATTCGTTATTAATGTGCCTTGTCCCGGTTCAAATAAATCAATTGAAAAGTATATAATCAAAATAAAGGGTTTGGCTTATCTCGGAAGAGCCAGATCGAGCTCACACAGGCTGTATAAAACTAGCAAATCATTCTCGGATAGCAACTACCTAGCAACCAAAAATCCAATCATGAACAGCACCTGGCTCACGCTATTTGCCTATCCAAAGGTGTTCAGCATCGAAAGATATTACTGACAGAAAGTTATACGCAAATGTGGTTTTCTCCTCTGAGCTGAAGAAGTGAACTACAAATTTGGAAGGCTGCAAAAGGGTAAAAAATAAACCAATTTTGTTTTTTGCTCATTTAAGTCATAAAAATGGGGATGTCTTAAGAAGCATCATGATGTGTGTAGTTTATACACAAACAAAAAATAACCAAGTCAATTCAATTCAATGTATTCTTGTATAAATCACAACAGTAGTGATCTCGGAGGACTTTACAAAACTGTTGCATTTGCCAACACAGATTAGAGAATCAAATAGTTCAAACATGCAGTGATAAAACACATAAAGCAGATGGGGCAGATGACCAATGTCCATGAATGTTGTTGATCGTCGAGTGTCCAGGATCATACACCAAGCATGTGTCTGCGGCCCCCCACCACCAATTACAGCCCCAAAATAGAGATAATGACAGTGCAAAAATCAACACTGTTTTTAGTGCACACAAATAGCTCAAAGCCCTGGAGTCACAGGTGTTTATAAGTGACATTTCAGCGAATCCTCATTTTCTGCCTTTGTAACAGCCACTGCGTCCCTTCTGCGCACGGACCACCTGTGTGCTCCCACAGCGAACAACGCACTTTCTCAACGCAATTATAAAAACTGCAACAGGGAAATTGGGTCATGGTTTCAACAACAAAAAAAGACTTCACATAAAAATAGACTTAGAAGTGACAGGAGCTGAAAAGTTAGGGGAACAAAACAGAAAATTCTCTTTATACTGACTGCAACCCTCTTTGAGAAGATTTTGTGTCGCGTGTGTCAAGAAGGCAAAAGCAGAGAGGGCTGTAGTGAAATATGAATATTCCTCTAGAGCGTGAAACTCACCGGGTCGGAGCGTGGCATCGGCCTTTGGAGGACAATCAGGGTTGATTTCTTTCAGGTCTTTTCGCAGTACCATGTGGCTGAAAAAGAAATGAAAAGTATTTATAGATAAGTTACAATAAGTATGCTTATGTTAGTGGAACTGGGATACACTATTATCGCATTAAGTTGTGTTCACAGCAACACAGTACATGGATATGTACTGACCCTGGTTTAGGACACGATTCTAGTAACGCAAAATCAAAATACAATCAAGTCAAAAGGACAAAGAGAGCATTGCACTCTCAAATAGAAGCTGCCAGTTGTTTTTGTGTTTGTCATAGTTAGATATTTTTTCTTTCAGACCAGTTCAGAACACTCAGGATTTTGAACATTCATCTTGTACAACATATGGCCAGAGATAAGAAATATGTAATTCTATTTCTATTGTGACATTATTTTATTTTTGAGTCGCCTTACTAATTTGACATTGTGACATCTCTAGATCAAAGACACAATAAATGGTTTTGTTCCAAGTTTGACCTATAGCTAATATTTAACTGAAATAACGAGCTATAGGTCTGTCAGTCTTGGTCAATAAGTCGATTCATCTTGATTCATTCAGGCATCCTAAATTCGACCAAAATATGTATTGTAAGTAAGTAAGTAAGTAAGTAATCTTTGGTCAATAAAAAGCCAGAAAACTTTCCTCAAGTTCACAAGTTAACTTTTAGAAATGTTATTGAATGTTTTCTCCAGCTTCAGTAGTTTTACATTGTTGAAATATAGTAAGTCCAGTTATTCAGCTACATAACAATAATAGGTTTTGAGAGCTTTTGTCACCTCTTAAAGTCTTTAGCACTTCCTTAGCATCAAGCATTTCTTTGGTCGCTTACAGCCATAATGAGCTGCTAAATAACAGTTTTAACCACTGACTTCCAGCCTATAGTTTGCCAGAATATTTACTTCTCTCCTGAGGACCAGTTCATCATTGATCAGCCCACAGCAGCTGCTGCAGTCGTGCAGATGTATGCTAACTAAGAGTGGGCAATACTGACTGGAATGAATCACTCCCAAAGTTTTGCTGAACCCAATCTGAAGATCCTCAAGATGCTGTGACAAATAATACAGAAAGAATAGTGTTGAACCACAAATTTAAATGGTTTATATGAATGTAAACAGACACAATATTGTCAGAAATGTTCAGGACCTAATTGTTCTTTTCTGCTTCAAGAAACAGACACACAAGTGCACTGTGGAAAAGTGTACCTCTGTACATCGGAGCATCCTTCATTGGAAACATGTTAAATCTAGCCTGCAGACACATTTGTATGCCTTGGCTTTTAACACCAGTTAAGTTCCACTGTTTGTACTTGTAATTGTGTGTATTTCATGCTGCTTTTAGTTTGACTTTTCCTTTCTTTTTCACACATTTCTTTCTTCTTTCTTATGTAATGTGAAGCACTTTGGGCTGGTGCTGTTGTGACTGTGTTATACAAATATTGACATTGGCATAATAGAGTAGAATAGAATACAACACAATGTATTCTTGTATAGCCCTAAATCCCAACAGTAGTCATCTCAGAAAACTTTGATCTGTGTTTGTGATTTTCAGAGAATCAACAGTTAAGACACTGCCATAACAAATACATATACTATCTCTCAGTGTGTCCCAGATGCAGACAGCATGTTGTGGTCCGGTTTGTTCACAACATGTTACTACCACAACTCCCACAGCAGTCATTTTAATAGAAATGAAATACAGCCAAACTATACTAAATTATGCAAGTAAACAGTGTGTTGCTAGGGTAACCAGCACTTGCTCTAAGCTGAGATTGCTCTGAACCAGTCCAGGACCAGTCTAGGATCGAGATTTCGAGATATAAAAATAAACTACTTATAGAAACAGAAAAAGTGAAAAAGTTTTGAAGTAATTACACTTTTCAACAGAACAAGACTTTCTGTTGAGACATAGAAAATGCATTTCTGAAAAAAGTTCAGAATGTTTGTAAGATTTTAATGTATCCGGTTAAATCATTTATCATTTTTATAATTTTACGGCCGATTGGTGAACCTGAAGTAAACATCCCAAACATTCCCCAAACTGGAAACAAGACGTCAGCTCTTTCTCTGCGTAATCTGAGAAGCCAGAACAACAACTTCCTGAAAGCCGCAGTCTCCCTCTGTGGGTTTGACCTTGCTCTGCGTTTTAACCAGTGTTTTTCTAAGCCATTGTTTTGAAAATGCCAACGAGAAGAGAGAATGGTTAGAACAATGCCAACAATGCAAAAAGAACGGATTGAACTGGACGACTGCACCAGGAGCGGAGAGGGGGAACAACAAAAACAACAAGGGTCCAATCCAAAAAATATATAGTAGTGACACAAATAATGGCTACAAAATTGCCAAAGAAAATCTAGAAACATGCTCAGTTGATTGATTCGTCGACAAGAACCCCATTTCAAGCTGTGGATATTGGTGTTTGGGATCTTCTATCAAAGTTTGAAATGACTACTTACTGAAATTGGGAGTAACAAAACCTCTCTATAATGAGCCATGCATCGAACCCAAACTACCCTCATAAGACTCACATTTCATGCAAAGACAACTTTATGTACAACAAAGCCATAAACTCTTATTACTCCATGATTTATCTGCTTCATCCCTTCTCAGTTTTTCGTTTTGGTTTCCCTAAGAAATAATTATAATTTCAACATTTAATTTACAACTAACTACTAACTACTACTACATCAAACTTTTACATTATTTTTGAGACACTTTTTTACTTATTTACGAACAGTAAATAAATAAAGTAAAAACAACAGTACGCAAGCAGTTTTGGGCAGGTGGGTTGGGAGAAGAATTTTGAAGGTCAATACAAAACTTGGTCTCGCATCAACGGATTAATTGACTGAACAGAATTATAGACAATAGGAACGGGTTATTGAACGGATATTCCATATATGGTCATGTGTGGTATTGGTGGAATCTGCTTCCTGTGGCAAACCAGAAAGTGCAATTATAAACTTCACAGACAAAACCCAAAGATTTGTAATATTAAAATGTGTATAAAATGGGGAGGCTGCTTTTCAGATTCATGCTGCTAAAATCTGGAACAATCTTCCTGAAGATGTGAGACAGGCCTCCTCTCTGACAATGTTTAAAACCAGGTTAAAGACAGTTCTGTTTAGCTGTGCATACAACTGAGGGATTTTATGTTTTATCTTTCTTTTTAATGTTTTGTGATTATTTATTATTTTAATGCTTTCTTGTTTTGTTCAGCACTTTGAGTTGCCTTGTGTGTGAATTGTGCTATACAAATAAACTTGCCTTGCCTAAAATTAGAATATAAATAACAAAATAACATCGCAAATTGGTAACTATCAAATGTACTTATCAGCTAAAAATAGCAACAAGATGTTTTAATACAAAGACATTTCACCCAAACAAATCAACACAAACTTTATTATTTCCATCTAAATGAAAGCCGCAACAGACAGACAGTTACATCTTTTACTTTTTTGTTTTGGGTGACATTCAATTATAATTACTGAACCAACCTTGCGTAATGTTTACAGGAAGTAACGCCAACACATGCACTTATTTTTAGCGGTAGCATGTTCTTATCTAAAACAGGATCAATCCAAATACAACTTCACACCTCCAATGGAACAGATATACACTTTTCAGCATATGGAATAAACACTGGCAGCTCCAATTTGCACTCGCACACAAAAGCCAACGTTTCACAAACACCCACGAGTCTTTGTGATGTCAGTATTTATTACCACCACTATCCAAACTAAAAACACAAAATAGGTTTTGAAAGTATTTGTAAATTGGAGTTCTAGTTTTCTACCACAAACAACATCACGTCTGGATTTGTACGGCAACGATTGTACATAAAGATGTGTTTTTGCAACATCACAGGGATAAAAAAAAGAAAAAAGAAGGGAATTGTTTATTAGCAAATCTGTTTATCTTGTGTTTTTAAAATGCTTCGCTTTAAAATCAACTGGAGTACATCATTTGTACTTTGTGTCTTGTTTTATTTTATTTTTTATTTATTTATTTATTTATTTTTTTCATTTATTGTTGAGAATAGACATACAAACATACAATACAATACATACAATACGACAAACAAGAAACAAACATAGACAACAAAGACAACATAGGTGATCAGTTTCAGTGATATTTACAACGTAAGAGGAGAATCTATACAAAGAGGGGAGAGAGGACAGTGAGACCAACAAGAAAGAAAAAGCAATCGTTGCACGCACGCGCATGTGTGTGTGTGTGTGTGAGTGAGTGTGTGCATGTGTGTGCATGAGAGTGAATGTGGAATTACAGAAATCTTTTCTTATGTACAGAAGAGGGGGAGAAGGAAAGACAAAGTGTATATCTACACATACATACATACACATATATATTCATGCATATATACATACATTCACGCAAACAATAATTATAAACATATAATAGTAAATTTAAACATATACATATAAATATATAACATTTAAATTATAATAATAATGAGTAATGATATACGATTGTTGCATAATAACATTGATAATGATTATAATAAAGATGATGATGGTGATAATAGAAATAAAGTATAACATCCGCAATAATGTGTCTTGTTTTATTAACTCATTGACTGCCAGCCGTTTTTGATGATTTCACTGATTTTCAAGACCCACAGAATATTATGTGCTTTGACTTTGTGAAATATGAAACCAGATTCTGAAAGACTGAACTATCTACTTTTATCAGCAAAAGGGAAGTATTCACCGGTCTCAGAGGTCAATGAGTAAACATGGTGGGAACAAATCAGAGAACATGTGGTCAAATCAAACAAATCACAACATGGGGTCTTTATGTTATTAGAAAACATTGCACCCTTTACATCCTGAAAGCTGATTGGCTGAGTGAGGGCTGGTACTCTCTTTTTCACGGGTAAAGCTGATCTAAAGAAGTGGCTGAGGCCAAAAACACAAAAGAGTTTTCAAGTTTGAGGCCGAAAGAAGCTAGTTACATAGATTTTATTGTTGTTTTTTGTGATTTCAAAGTTTGGTACTTTAAAAATACCACTTTTTAAAAATACAGTATATCATAAATCTAACTACAGTTATCTAGAACAGTGTCTCCCAAAGTGGGGTCCGCGGCCCCCTGGTGGGCCGCGAGGGTACTGCAGGGGGGCCGCGGGAGGTCATAAAAAAAATAAAAAAATAATATAATTATTTAATGTTAAATTTATAATGTTTTGTTTGTAATATAAAAATATTTGTGTTCATTATTTGACTTGAATAATCCACTGTAATCATTTTTGTATTACAATGTTTGTATTTTCCCCAAAATAAAATAACCAGAAGAGCCTATTCTTAATGTTGTCTTCTTGGTTATTATTTTGGGGGGCCACGCAGACCCGTCAGATTTTTAAGGGGGCCTCGGTGTTACTGAGTTTGGGAATGGCTGATCTAGAATGTGAGGTTTTTTCCTAAACAGTGTGTGTGTTGAGTATAGTCCACACACATCTGTTGTAGGAGGCAAACCTAATTAATATGCAGACAAAGTTAATTAATAAACAAACGCATAACTGGCGACCTTAACGCCTCATTTCACATTGTATTTAATGTGTGTAAACATGCGGCTATACAACCAGCCTGGATTAGACCATTGATCAAACAAACAGACAGGACTAATAATCCATGTAACAGGAGACAGTGATCTGAATGTAGTCCTAACGAGATGGGGACCATATGAAATGCATCTTATTTTAATGTTTATTTCAATAAAAGGTCAATACCACCGATTCCTTTTCTATGTATCGTTTTTGTTTGAAATAAATCACAAATAATCTTTACATCTTGGCGTCTTTACTCACTAATGATGCATTCATGTTCTTGACAGTTCTGGCATATTTACAGAACTGTCCATTAGTTTGCACTGTCCCTGAAATGAATAAATAAAACATGTACACAATGTATAATCTTGACATCAGGTTCCATCCCTAATTTTGACTCATATTCTTATACAAAAATTGCAGAAAAAGGAACATTTTAACTTTGGCCATGTTCTGCTTTATTACAAATTGTGTAAAATATTCACTTCACAAGCAGTTCAACTTTTTATATATAATGTGAATCTGAATCGAAAATAATGTTTGCAATTAAATATGTTCCATACGGTGGAACAGAGACATGCTGCATTACATGCAGCAGCAGCAGCAGTAGCAGCAGCAGCAGCAACAGCAGCAGGAGCAGCAGCAGCAGCAGCAGCAGCAGCAGCAGCAGTCCCGACAGCTTCTATTCCGCTTTTACCACAGACAAAACAATCCGGTGCTGCGGTATACTGCCGGTAGCAGGCTCCGGGGAACTACATCACCAATATCTCACAGCTCAGAGAAACCCAACCGAGCAGCACCGTAATGTGGAGAATATTGAGCTGGGTGTCCTCAAGTTTAAGTTGAGCGTGCAATTCAATTAGAAAGAAAAGGCTGGAAAGTCATACCTCGTCGTGAAAGTGGATGATATAAGCAACGCTGAATATGTACAGTAAATAATATAACTAAGTAATCTTTATCTATATATCGCTTTTCACAGACTAGGGTCACCCAAAAGCACTTAATAATTCCAGTGTCCTTAAATGGGTTGTATTTGTTTGTATAGTTTAGATTTGGTGAAGAGGACCTACATCCAGCCATTGTTTGGAAGGCAGTACAAACTTTTGTCTGTTTACTTTTCAATCTGCCCTTTTTTGCGACATTAGTCATTATAAACAACAGGCTCAGATTATTTCAATAACATGCAGTTGTGCTTAAAACCTGGCAGAAATATCGTTGATTTGGTCATATTATGGAGATGAAGACTTTCTCGTCCCACTGTGTTCAGTGAATCTCTTTGTCAAATAAACATGTTTTCTATTTACAAATTATAACATCATTAAGCCGCTCTTGGGAGGTCTCAAACGTGCACTTCTTGCGAGGCGGCCCCAGAATTGAGAGGAACTGGAGGCTTTTTGCCAAGAAGAATAGGCAGCTTTACCATCAGAGAGGATAAAAGCTTCATCCACAACTACCACAAAAGACTCCAATCTGTAATAGATGTTAAAAGGTACACGCGACTGAACTGGGGGATTGAAACTTCTAATCAGGGTCGGAAGATTAGTTTCGATTGTCATTATAATTTGAAAATATATGACCACAGCACTAATATTCATAATCTCAGAAATATGGTCTTATGCCTTGGTGTGTAAACTTTCTAGCAAGTTCTACTAGTGCGGTCATCTAATATTAAGAATTCAGTCCGACCACCCGGCTACACCTTGTTCCTTTTTGCGGAGTTATCAAACGTTATTAAATAAAAATGTGCACAACGTAGGCCGTAAATTTATGCATTTAGTCTTTTTGTTTTCCTTCCAAATAGTGAAAAACTCATGGGAAGCAGAGCAGAGTTTCTATTTCCCTCTACTCACAGAGAAAGAATTATGAATAAGTTTGAACTCGACTGAACCAAGGCCACTAATGCACTCACAACTCACATCTCGTCTCAACATAATTACTGTGAGATTTAAATATGTGTGTGGAGATGATGAAGCACTCACAATTTCCCGTCCTTGAACGATCGGACGAAAACGTTGTCCTTTTTCAGAGTGACGTCATCGTGACAATCTGGGGAGATCACCTAGGCAACACAAACAGCAGAAGAGGTCAGAGCTGGGGCGAGATTACACCGTTTCGACGAACAAAAGAAGGTGAAGCAGTAAAATACATTGCATATAATTACTAGAATTCAGGTTACTTTTTGAATGCATTTTTTTGCAAACTGTTAACTTATGACCGACTGTAATTCATCTCGAGATAAAGCTGGGTTTTTAAAAATCTTTTGCATAATTGTCAGAAAAACTGAATTTCTTATTTGACACTTTGGGTTGAGAAGCTTTTTAGCTGAAAAATCCGCTTTGAGAACGAGGAAATAGCGAAAGTGATTTTATTACAACCTAATTAAGTTGACATCAATACGGAACAGAGAAAACATGGGTTTTTAATTTAGCACATGATAAAAAGTACAATTAAATAGCCAAAGAACAATATATGCATTAAGAAGAAGCCACAGAGCTTTTTGCAAACACTGATCCCTGAAGCTAAAATATTACAGATTATTTCATTGAATCTATTTATTTACGTTTGTACATATTTTTAGTGGTACGGGAGCAGACACGGGGAGAACATGCAAACTTTACACAGAAAGACCTGGAGGTGGAATAGAACCCAGAACCTTCTTTCTGTGAGACGGTCGCAATATATATTTTTTTTTTCACATGTATATATGTATATGTAAAAATATAAATGTAATGTCATAACAAAATGTCACCATCTTATGTTTTAATCCAGTGTAGTAATTATTAGTGACATGGAAGCTTCCAGAAGGTCTGTGTGAGCGTTCCATTCGATGCGGAATTCAAGTTTATGCAGTTTCTTTCTCGTGTGTTGAATTGTGAATCAGAGCTCCTGCAGTAACAGGCGAGTTCTCAAGCGTCGCTGACTAAAGATGTTTTCATTCTAACAAAAGCCAATGTGACGAGTTACACATTTCTGTCTGTGAAGCAAACACGAGTGTATAGCTGCTGCCATCGTCAGCCCACTCACAGGATGGGCCACTGCTGTTCCCCGCAATCAGGACTACAACAGTGGCAGCAGGTGCAGCCACACAGTGCAGCAGGCAGGGGGCAGCAGTGAGCACCTACAGCCACAGCCTCTGATTGTCATGTATGATGCTGTGGGCTCATCATGTTTGCATTCTTAACTAGACTTAAATAGTCACACACAGTTCATCCATGACATTTCTCATTATGAATATGTTTGTGAAGACTGTATGATTTATATTTGGTAAACTTGTTTCAACAACTTTTTTCAACTGTTTTAGTAATTGATTAATCGATAACTGCTCTTTATAAAAACTAACAAATTTTTATGTCATTTTATCACTCAACAAGGAAGTAATTGCAAACAAAAATATCAGGAATTGTGTAAATGTTTTGTTTTAATAATGAAATGTTCTGGGGAAAAAAACAATTAGAATATCCTTTGGAGGGTTTATTCGGATTTATCTTTGTGAAACTAATAATATTATTGTATGTGCAATATAGTTACACAAAGGTAGTGTAGATTAAGTAAGATGGGGTACTTAACTTGCACTCCATGATGTAATATAATCAAACTAATTCCTGGCTCTCAAAAAGTGTTTAGCCTCTGTCACAATTGATCAGATTTTTCAGAAACAAAAGTGAAAAAGAGAGGGCCACCCTCACTCAGCCAATCAGCTCTGAGTCCTTTGCAGCTCAGTATGCAAAGGACAACCAAAGACGGCATCTGATTTGTTCACATAACTTCCCTTTTACAAGACTCTGTCTTGAGGGACAAACACAATGTATGGGGGGGGGGATGTAAGTACCTTGGCTTTAAAAATCCAAACTTATAAGAAATGTTTGTAAAAGGTCAAGAGGACAAGAGTAACATCATGCTGTGGTTTGTTGCCAGGGTCATGTTCAACCCTACACCTTTTTATTAAAAACTTTAAACATTCCATGTCTTCCCTCGTGCTGCCTGCATCCCCTGCACACAGCTCCACCCTGCTCTTTCTCCTCAGCCACATTGTAAATACTGTCAAGATTCTTGTAACATGCACTTCCCTCGAACTGTCACAAGGAGGCAGCAGCAGGCTCGACCAGACAGCCAAGAACAACAAGCCTGCGGAGGCGGGGTCAGGCACTGTTAAAGAGACAGTTCCTCTGCACTGGCTCCAACTTGTGCATGTTATACTTACATAAACAAACAACGCCTGTCACTGCTGTCTGTGCTAACGCAGGCTGACAGCCGAGGGCGGAGACACACGCGCTGGAAACAACTACGTCTTTGCAGATATGTTTTCCTAAGAAGTGCAAAAATCAATTTCAAGTGGTCTTCAAACAAGAAGCTGGAACGACTCGTGCGAATGAGAATTATGCAACTGCAGCAGAACTTCAGCATCGAGCAAAAGAAAAGGTAGAAAATGTAAAATACTTAAAAAGGTTTAACAATGTTCTAAACTAAAAGTGCTCTTTAAGAATCCTGCCATCTTAAGAGGAAAAATACAGGGTTTAGTTCAAGGAATACTCTTTTAATCTACTTAAAACTGATCCAGGACATTAATGAAGATTGGTTAACCCACTATGTACGCACCATTGACTTTTGTTTAAATGCTTTGTAATCTGGAATGTGACGTCCTCAGAGACAACTACTGCTGTGATTTTGGCTGGTACAAAAACATTGAATTGTTTTGATTCTACAGAACAAATCATGTTGTTTCCACCTATTTGTGAAACTATTAAAATAAACTATTGTCAGGTTTTTCACACAGCACTAAATCAATATTTTGTTTCTTCCACTTGCCGGATGCTTGGACAACACTCACAGCAACATAATCATTTTCAAATATTGTTAAAAAAAAGTTATTTAATAAAGATACTTATAGTTTACTACGCATTCAGAAATGTTTTGTCAGAGGTAAACGTTTTCTTTCTTTGAAGGCAATAAATAGATAACGTAATGTTTAGTGAATTGTCAACAACAGTTTGCATACGTCATCTTTTGTCATTTTCATCACATTTACTTTTTTTTATTGTTTTGATCCTCCTTTTCTGCAACATGGAATTTCCTCCACCGCAGGAACAATAAATAATTTCTTATCTCCATCTAATCCCTACACATTCATCATCACATAATAATACACACAAACAACGCTCATAAAGATTTAATACATTGTTTGAATTCCAAATAAGATGCATTTAAATGTTGATCTCTTTTTTTCTTTCTTTTTTTTTTGGCTTTCCAATAGCTTATCTCCCCAGGGGCAGTGCAAGAATCCCATTTGTAGATTTGCCATTTTCTTCTGTGACCAAGCGATTTTCTTTGTTTGTCAATAAAGCCGTCCAATTAAAACATCCAAAACATTCCAAAGTACTTCAGTCACATAACCCTAAAAGCGTCCATGTTCAGTTTAACCATCCTTACATTTATCCAATTACCCTTTCCGATTTCACAGTAGGAGCCTGCATTACGCCGGTGCCGTGCCGTGGTTACATAAGCCGTACTTAAGATCTGAGAGCACAAAGCGGCGGCAGTGGCCCATGTTTGAATGTAATATATAACAATGCTGAAGAAGAGGGAGCTCACCAGCGCCGGGTACCACGTGGTCCGCCTCTTGTCCCCCGTGACGACGCCTTCCACGCAAACCACTTTCCCAAACAGGTCCTCGTTGGGCCGCTGGTCGCTGTCCTCGTCTTCACTGGAGGAGGAAGACAGCTCCTCTTCTTGGCTGCAAGTCACAATTTATGAGCGTTTTAACTTTATATTCAAGTTTGGGGTGAAACTGGGGTACCTGATAGTTAGTTTTTGTGTGATTTGACCGAGTAATACAATCCAACTATCCATCTAACTATAGTTCCTATGTTAAATACTTTTGGTTCTATCAATACTTTTACATACATGCACAAACAGATTTTTCAGACAGAAAAGCGAAAAAGAGAGGACCAACCTGAGAACCAATCAGCTCTCAGCTCAAAATGTCAAATAGTACCTTCAAAGACATCTTGCAAGAATGCTAAAAATAACTAGTTTTCCAATAAGATCAGTCAAATCAATACAGTCTTTTTAACACAATTCTAAAACAAGGCAATTCAAAGACATTCAGAGACAATTTAAAAATACACAACATAATATACAATACAAATTAAACAGCATAAGGCAGCATGTTGTGGTCTGATTTGTTCACATACTGTTATCCAATCCAAACCAATCCACTTTATACAACAGGTTTCCAAAGGGCTGCCCAGAGACTGTTTCTGTCAGGTTACTCTTTTTGTCAAGACAAATAAACATGAAGCTTTAGCATGAGGCTTTCAAAGGGTTGTCTAAAAAGGTGCCTCGTCTTCCTGGTGATGTAATGGGTTTGCCTGGAACGCTCCACAGTACAGCATTAAAGTCTTGCATTCGTTCGTGACAGCAGGTGTTTCTGTTGCTCAAAATACCCTGAAAAAGCATGAATCCTTACTGTGAGCTGCCTCTCCATATATAACTTGGCTAGTTACCAACACCTACTTGTCTCCACTGGATAGACACGTAGAATGCAATGTTGTGGAAGATTACAGCAAAAAAAGAAAAAAAAAATCAAACATTGGCTTTGATTGAGGTCTGTTTTGAAACAAGAGGAAAAAGGGTTTTGAGAAGCATCAGCAGATTTCACCTTAATAATTATCAGCATCACATTATTCAATAGCTACACATGTGACCACCAGGGGGCTGGAGCAGGGAGCTTAAATGTCAAAGAGGTTTAAATGCAAGTGTTAGTAATTACAGATGCATTGTTGGAAAGACCACCAGCTCAATAATCATAGACTAAGTGACTGATACAAACACCATAATTGTTCATGCAATAGGTCCGTGGCACTATCCAACTGAACTTCACCGAGTCATTTCAAACATTCAACCCAGAGTCTAGGTCAAGTTTGAGTCTTGAGGGATGAGTCTGAACAAATTCTCTGGTGTTAAGGGGAAAAATCAGAGTCAAGTCTGAGTCTGACTCAAAAGTCTCTATCTCTGCAATCAAGGGACTTACATGCTTTTCATGACTAATTTAGTCTGCACAGTGAGTCCTTTTTAGATAAACTAACCATATTAGGAGGACTGCGCAATTAATCGCAATTTAATCTAAAATATTAGTAGAGGCAGTCGGCAAATCACAAAGACAGCAATTATTTTAGTCACTTTCAAAAAAGGTGCGTGCAAACAAAACAAAATAAAAAAAAACATCAAATGAGAAAGTATATCTTGATTTTAGCATTATTGGACTCTAAATTAATATTAAAATTAAAATTAATATTTTTTTGCCATATCCTAAGCACATCTGCATTTTTCCTTGGATCTTCTAACTTCCATTGGCAAATCTCAATCTCTTTTTTTCTTTTTAAAAGAAAAGACAAAAAAACTTTTTATTGCAATTTTTTTTTGCAATGTATTTGTATCACCAACACAATCTGGTAGTACAATATATGTTGTTTTTCAAATAAACACAGGCTAACTTTCTGGTGACTAGTCGAAACGTGTTAATAAAAACTCATATCTACAGAGTCTTGGACATTCTCCTTCTAATATGAATTCCTGCCCAAACATTTCCGGAAAGAACCCGACCTGCTGCCTGAGCCCCTGAGCCCTCCCAGCTTCATCTTCTTTTTAAAACAGTTTTATAATTACTTTTAAAACATGCAGAGTAAAATACACACAGCAATGTTAATCTGTCACATCCCAATTAGATATTCTGCCAACAACAGGACCATACAATTGACTGGGTGTCTCCTGTGCCTTAGCCGAGCCATTACCTAAAGACACATCCCACTGACCTATATTTGATCACATAGACAGACTGCACTGGAGGCTTGCCCTGCTCCGTGCCCCTCTCATTAGAATCAAAGCATCGACGAGCAGATATTCTATACGGCGCTGACATTCACAACATAAAAGTTCTTCCACAGTGGTATAATATAGAGCCAAAAGACCTGAGGCTGGATTTTCATGTGAAATTTGCCTGGCTAAAGTTACTCTCCATTTGTTGTTATTGCAGAAATTGTTAAACGGTAGTTCTTAATATTGGCAAAATTCGGGAAATGATCATTTTCTAACCATAATAATTTGCCATTTCAGTACAAACGGAAGGAGTGGATTGGGGAAAAAAAGATTGAATTGCTCTGTGTTTGAGCAAAGAGCTGCACTGAAAAGGATAATGACTCAATTATGATGTAACAATCTCATTGGCAGATCTTTACAGGATCATATCACTAACTAATCTATGCAATGGTTATGTCATCAAAGCAATCTGGTTTTTGTGCCATAGCCGCTCAATTCATTTTCTGATGGCTATTCATGACATCATACCTTAACATATTGTTTCATTTTGTCGTTGTGCATGTTATTAGATTCTTCTGTAGCAGACAATTGTAAGACAGCGATCTAATTACCTTGACATGTTTCGACAGTATACTTCTAAACCAATAAAGCATGTTTCTGTCCGATACCAGAGGGTTATTGACCGGATCACTCATCTAGTCCAATTTAAACAGTGTCCGTTTGCCGAAACTGGATCTAACCATTTGTACTCCAGTTGAGCTGGCATGTAATGGTGTAAACCGGATCCTATTGAGACAAGATACAAACAAGAGCACAGGGAAAAGCCATGCTTGTATTTGATATGTAGTTGGACGCATATAAGCCACTCACTCATGTTCACAGTCCATCTGTCGTGACTCGTGGTTTTGTTACTTGGGGAAGAAAGTTGGAAGCATTTAATTGCAATTGCAATTGATTACTTTCTCCAAAAGTGTGCTTATACAGAACATATGATGAGAATTGTATTTAAGTTGAGCGCCAGGACAAACTTACAAGATGCCTTTGAAAGCGCCACAAGGCAAGCGCCAAACAACATACTGTATTTTTTATAAACGCACAAGAATACGACAAGTACTGAATCAACAAGGGCGCGTTCACACGTCTCATTCTCTGGTAAATTTGCGCTCATTATGCTTCATTTGTGGAGATGTGGAGGCTGCGGCTGTAAAGTGCCAAACTGCTGTCGTGTCCTTAGTTAGGCAAGACACTTCACCCCCATTGCCTAGAATGAGTCTGGTGTGTGTGTGAATGGTTAGTGTTGGTCGGAGGGGCCGATGGCACATACTGGTTGCCTCGCTTCTGTCAGTGTGCTCCAGGGCAGCTGTGGCTACAGTAGTAGTTCATCACCACCGTGTATGGAGTGAATGAATAATGACATGTGAAGCGTCTTTGAGTGTCCAAAAAGCGCTATATAAAACTGATGCATTATTATTATTATTATTATAGATGTGAAAGCTTTAAACAAGTGTGAACTGGTGTGAACTTCAAGGTTATGAGGCTTTATGAGGCTTGCTGTGTCTGTTTCTGAAGTTAACCAGGTCCGGTCGACCAATATGAATGAAACTATGAATGACAGAATGCAGACTAACTTAACTTGTCTGCATTCATTTTTTTTTTTACCTTTATTTAACCAGGAAGTCCCTGGTTGACCTGGCCAAGAACACCTCGGTAACTAAACTCATTTATATATTTTTCTTTCATGCTGTTATACAAACTAACTAAGATCACACCATTATTTCTCATTTCTGCTGTTATAATCCCATATAAAGTGTAATATTTTACAAATGTTCACAGTTATTTGACAAACTGCTTCAAACATTATCAGTATTGAAACATGGTGGTTCATCATTACTTCCCTCCACGCTGACATTATGCCCTTTGTCTTTCCTGCATGCTTTGTCCTGGTGCAGAACATTGTGCGTGCGTCTACACAGAATAAATCCGACAGACTTGTGCTGCCACCAGAACAGCAGCAAATAAGTCATGCATCAAAGTCATAAAGAGCTGAAGGCGCTCAAAGGAAAAACAATATGATACGGAGTCACAGAGACAAGAACAACTTCAATCCGTCGTGAGAAGGTCCATGTCTAAGTTAAAGAATAATTGACATCTCTGTCTTTATTCTCATGCAGCGGTTTGGCGAATTTCCATTTTGTTTAATACATTATTTTGCTGTGTGACTTTGATGCCGTTGCAGCTCATAATCATAATAAAGTGCTGAAGTGAATCAAATCCATGCTTTATTTCTATTGCTCTTGAAACTGACAGTAAATTAAAATAGATCCAAAACACACTTGGTTAAATCAATCTAGTAGTTTAATCCCGTTACATTCACGATATATTGCCAAAGACAGGGTTAAAATGGTTGTGTGCTAGATATAAACGGAAAGAGACATCCCTACTGCTGTTCTGGCAGACAAAATGAATGATTAGATGAAAATGTTGAAAAGGAAGACGAAAAATGTTTTGGTTTAATTATGTAAAGTGCAAGACATTTCAGTTTCAGTTTTGTTTCCCTTTGTTGAAATAAAAAATCTCCTTTAAACTAATTATATAAAGATTACTTGCCTACTTACTTACTAATTTCAAAACACTGAGTGTGTTTACACGGTATGAATGAAGAAATCAATGAATATGAAGAAAACCGCACTCAACTTCAACAGTTCTGAAGAGTTTTGGTCCCGTCTCGGAGAAGCCGCTCAGAGCTCAAGATTTTAGAACGATTTCAACAACGTCTCGTAACTTTCTCTTTTTATAATAATTTTTTGTGATGTCATTGTAAATACAATTGACATCTGATGCTATATGATTTTCACACATGCTCATCGTCCGCAGCATAACCACCATAATTCTTGAGCTTTGTTTACGTAACCAAAC